CACACACACACGTAACATTCTCATGCTTAACATATAGCGCTTGAACTTCAGGTGGTGACAGCAAAACCTTAATGATAGTCCAAGTTGCCCCAGTGGAGAAGAACGTGAACGAGACACTTTCCAGTCTGAGTTTTGCGCAAAGAGTGCGCACAGTGGAATTGGGCATGGCCAGTAAGAAGACAGAGTCCTCCGAGGTGGCTGACCTTAAGGAGAGGCTCGCACAGTATGAGGTAAGACAGTCTTCAAGAAATACAGGGCGTTTTGAAAATAGATTGTGATTCTGTACTTGTGAAGTACATAGTGTTGTTTAAAATAAGTTATTGCTAACTTTGTTGCCAATAAACTGATGAACCTATTTAAACTACAGACTGCAGATATTTGACACCACTGTGTATTGGCTTTCCAGGGTGGGCGCTCTACGCCAACGAAAGGCACTTCTTCCCGGCCAACGTCAGCGGTAAAAAGAAAGTGAGGACAATTTTCTGGCAGTGGTTCAGTGTACTTAAGACTGCCATGAGTCTCTGCAACATAAATATGATCATATAATGATAAGTTAGTTAAATGAATTTCTGTACACCCAACACTGATATTTCATAGTACTAGCACTCTGCCATGCCACATTGGCTGATTTATGTCATCTGTATTCCAATAAAGTATGACTGTTTATAAACAAATATATTTTTCAAATATGTGCAAAATGTACATTGTCCTGTTTGATTGCACTAATTTATTCCTAATCTTCAACTGTTATTGTTATGAAAACTGTATTATAAATGGCATAAAGCCATAGACCAATATAGGACAATGTTCGAATTATTCATATAAGATAATTTACCAGAATTTATAATTGTATGATTTTTTTATTGAATTATTTACAATCTCCTGGGGCTTTATCTCCTGTTATAAAAACCAAGAACCAAGTTAAGTAATTCCAATGTCAAGTTTTAAGGTTGTGAGAAAGATTTGTCTGAAAGGTTGATATACAGACCTACCATAAAATATACTGTCCTTTTTGAAATTCTTTGTGTATATATCAAACTTTTGTTCTTTGTCGTCCTTAGCAAGTAACTGATGAGTCAGTACTAGGAGCAGTGTAAAGTTGTACAGTTTCAGTTCTTAACTCTCCTGGTCCAAAAGTTAGTGCGTGCAAGCTTCATCTTTTCCAAACACTTCCCTGTGTCTAAATGTTGGTACACGTGATATTGAAACTGGCAAGGTAATATTAATTTTGTAATTTTCTTCATTTACTGGCCACAGTTTCTGCTTTGAGTCAGTAGATTCTTATAGTCCCTGGTGGTCTGAAGGGCTAGTTGGCTGAATAAAAGAGTATTTAAAAGTAGAATAAGGTAACAATCAAGTGGGTCTATTCTTAATATATACATCTTGTAGAAGTATGAAGGTTGTGTAAGAAGCCAAATTATTTCCAGTCCGAGTTCCAGAAATTGATGGAAACGGCAGAGACATGAGGAGTTAGTTTTCAGCAATCTGGAAATCTCCTTGTGAATCAGTAAATGGGGGTTACCAGCTTCATTGTATCAAGGTTTAAGTAACTAAGCAAATTTATATTTAATTTATTTTAATTACTTATGTCTTTCTTGAATAGACCACAAATGAAGTGCAGGTTTCCAAAGGTTAAAATAGGTAATATGATATTTTGAAATTATTTAGTAATTATGTAAATTGTATCCATGCACAATTTTCATTCATGTAGAATTTAAGTACAAAAATTGTTGAATTCCTAATACTGTATTATCATGCAGTGGATATTTTATGCAGATCACTCAATTTTAGTGTTTAACAATCAATGTCAACAAAACTATGCAATTCATGGGAGCATGTCTCATTCTGCTTTATAAGATATATATTATTATTTCTACAAAAATACGTTATTAATATATATGTGTATTAGGTTGAAGAGCCAAAGAACCTGAAAAGAATTTGAGCCCAATAAGTTTTACACAGTTTAATTCCCATGTGAAGTTTCTTTATATTTGACTTTTGTCATTATGCTAATTATTGATATTAAAATATATTTCAGAAAATACTTTCATTAGTATTTATTATCTTATTTGTTTCTTGTAACTTAAGTTTCCTTTTAGTAAAAACTTTCGCTAATGATGTCTCATAGATTTGTAACAAAATCTGGAATACAAAAAAAAAAAATTTTTTTTAAAGAAAAACCTAAGAAATTTTATATGATGGAGGATTTTTTGCCATTTGTTTCAAATTATATTTTTCACATGTGAAAGCAAGTTCACAGTGTTTTATTGTACCACCAGCATAGGTGCTGGTGGTACACATGGTTTTAGTCCCGACCTGCATGTTCTGCTGGCTCAGCCACCACATCACAGTTATGGCTTCTCCTCCTAGACTACAGGAGCCTGCGTACCTATCTCTTGGATTTAGGTCACGTATCAACTTGATCCACGTAAAGTTTGGCCCCCGTCAGTGCTGGCGTCTAGGTGTGGCAATCATCGTAATGCACCCTTGTCCAAAATTTGCAAAATTAAATGCTTAATATCTCCCAAACCGAAGGAATTATGGAAAAAAATTTCTACAGATGGCTGATCGAAAGTCATATGGGAGATTACAAATATGCCCTTGGATTTGACCTTTGACCATTATTTCCGGGTGAAACGGGCCAAAATTTTATAAAAATGGGAATTTTTTACAAAAAAAATTATTTGCACCAATATTCAGAAACTACGCAGACGTCACCTATAATATTATTGGCAGGTGTTACCATTAGGGTTCTCTTTTATCTCCGTGAGTTTGGGGTCAATCAGTGCATTTTCACAGGAGCAGCGACCATTAGATGCCAAAACTGAAAACTCTAACTCTAATTCTGGAACCACTTATGATAGAGACCTCTGTTTTTTGCATTTGATAGAGCATGTCAAGCCCAACATTGGGGCTGGTGTCCGTTTTTTGTTTTCCATATGGTTTACGAGTTACGCTGTATCAAAAGTACATTGTGGTGGTGAAAGCAAAATGTGCAATAGAGTAATATGCATAACATTTTGAACGTCTGGAAAATATAACATAAGGCATGGCGATCGAGGCAGACAACCTCTGGTCAAAAATGACATTATTTCATGAAAATGGAACATCTGGAATTTCTGAGCACCTCCTATTTCATGAATATCAACCAAAATGACCTTTCCTTTATTTCAATTAAGTTCTTCTGTACAGAATTTATGGCACATTACTGTAACTCCAAAATTGCAACATTTTAGTCCCTCATGTCTCCAAAAATAGCAGAGATAGGGCCATAGTTACTATTGAAGTTGAATAGGAAATCATATACTGGCAATTTGACTGTGACCCTGAAATTGACCTTTGACCTTATTTTCAATATGAACTGAACTTTGCAACATTTGAGTCCCAAGGTAACATCTCCAAAATTAGCAGAGATAGAGCCATAGTTACTATTGAACTTGAATAGGAAATCATACACTGTCAATCTTACTGTGACCTTGAAATTGACCTTTGACCTACTTTTTACCGTGAACTGAATTTTACAAGATTTCGGTCCGTTATATCTCCAAAACTGGCAGAGATACTCCTATAGTTATTTGAATAGGAAGTCATATACTGGCAATCTGTGATCTTGAAATTGACCTTTGACTACTTTTTATCATGAACTGAACTTTGCAGCTTTCTATCTCTTGTCTCCAAAACTGGCANATCATACACTGTCAATCTTACTGTGACCTTGAAATTGACCTTTGACCTACTTTTTACCGTGAACTGAATTTTACAAGATTTCGGTCCGTTATATCTCCAAAACTGGCAGAGATACTCCTATAGTTATTTGAATAGGAAGTCATATACTGGCAATCTGTGATCTTGAAATTGACCTTTGACTACTTTTTATCATGAACTGAACTTTGCAGCTTTCTATCTCTTGTCTCCAAAACTGGCAGAGATATGCCCAAAGTTACTATTGAACTTGAATAGGCAGTCACATACTGACAATCTAACTGTGACCTTAAAATTGACCTTTGACCTACTTTTCACCATGGACTGATCTTTGCAAGGTTTCCGTTCCTTATATCTTCAAAACTAGCAGAGAAATGCCCATAGTTTCTGTTGAACTTAAATAAGTTAATTTTTTACTATTCTCCCCTCTAGAAAGCCATGCAGAGCTTCAGAATTTTCTTCAAAAAAGTGTGGTCTTAACATTACCGGCAGTCAGGGAAAATGAATTGTCCTCTGTGCAAAAATACCTTTTTTCATACTTGGCTTTAAAACATTGCTGCTTAGATATCTGAAAAAAATTAAATGAAATGTTTTTTATTTTTATTTATTTAATTATTTATTTAATTAATTATTTATTTATTTATTATTATTTATTTATTTATTTATTTTTGCTGTCTTCGTTCAAAATTGGCAACTTTCCAGCTTTTTTTAATGCATGTATGCTTGGTATTTTATCCTGCAATTTACTGCATTTACATCGAAACATTAGAAGTAAACTTTGCTATTAGCTGTTGATTGATGAAAAATTACTTCATTCAAAAAAAATCGTACGGGCAATTTCATCGCACGGTGCCCGTGTAAATGTAATCTAGGCTTTACTCATTAGTCTCTGTAGCACAACGCTCACAACATTGGTATACAGGTTGCGGTACATTTTTCAGGTTCACCTTGGTGAGGCAAGGAGGCGACCTACAGTATACACACAGGTTATTAGAAAAAAAGTTAGCCAACATCATTTTCATCTTCACTAAAGTCAACGAAACGAAAAGGCAACGGAGAGTAACATGCTGAACTACAACAAGATTCTCTACTTTTTCTTTCGGTGTGCCATACAAGCTGTCGACGCTATTCTTCGGACTTTGTTTAAGAGGCGTTTTACTCCTCTCACCGAAGAAAGTCTGCTTGGGAATTTCTCTGACGCTGACCGGCGATTGCTTTTTTCGGACACTACCATTGGCCGTTGGTCTTACGAGGGGGTGCTTGTGTTGCAAAGATCTTTCCAAAATGACAAAACGGCGTCTGCTTTCACCAGATATTTGCTTGGAAAGTTGTTGGAAGGTAGCCTTCGAAATCGACTTGCAGTACTACGCCGGCTGACTGTGGTTGATTTATCTACGGTAATGTGTGTGTGTGTGTGCGTGCGTGCGTGCGTGCGTGTGTGTGTGCAATAATCTCAACCGAACTATAAAACGTTGAAACAGAGTTTGGGATAAAACGAGTGTCCTGAAAGGTTAATTAAATGGAGGTAAAAGCACCTTGTTCGGTTCACAAAAATTATCTCAACGTTTGTAAATGAATTTTAATGGAGTCGTTTGCTTGTGCACTTGACTTGTTTTATGGGTTTACATGTAAGTGTACGTGAGTAATTATGATTTGTATGCACCACGCAGTGGAGCATTGGATCCCACTAAGATAAAAAATAGGGATATAAGCCAACGGAAACTCTCTAATACTTGGGGGGGGGGGGAGGGGAGGGAGGGAATCACATGTAGAGAGAGGCCGTTTGGGAGAGCTAATAAGTCAGTGGAGAGAGTTCCAAAGTTGGAGACTTCACCTAGATCATGTTGTTCGCGAGCGTCAACAAGTAAATCGTTAAAGGGATAATAACTGTTCGTTTTGGCCAAAAAATGAATTTTCCTGGAGTAAACAACAATTTCCCAATACTTACCAATTAATGAATCCATTTCTACATTCAATGTTAGTCCCTGATTTTTTTTTTTTTTAAGTTTGTTTTTTTTTTGTTATTATCTCTGAAGAGATTATTACAGAGTACAGCCAACTATGGAGGTCACGTGGTCCGATGACAAGCTCAGATATCAGAATAATAGCTATAACTGCCGTTTTTGTGGTAAAACAGAATATATTATATTTCTATGAGTTGTTACAATGTCTTTCTTGTGAAATATAGATCTCATACGAAGAGTTATTATCCCTTTAAGCTGGTTATTATGTGCTCTTGGGTTTTCTTTGCGTGACTTAACATTAGTTTGACACGAAGCTTGGGATTTTGGATTGTTTTTGCGAGGTAAAAAAGATTTAATAACAACCTGTTCTATATTTCATGGGCACGTTTGGGACGAAGACAGCCAGGGTATATATAAATTGATGTGTAAATTAATGGAAGGAAGCCTTCGAAATCGATTTGAAGTACTATGCCGTTTGGCTGTGGTTTATTTATCTACGGTAGTGCAGTGGCAGATTTAGGGGAGTAAGGGGGATCACCCCCCCCCCCTCAGTTTTAGAAAAAAGAATAACACTAATATTCCCCTCTTGAAATTAAAATATTGATTAGCTGAATCATAGTTCTAATTAAACCCGTACCAAATGGCACCGTTTGCTCTACAAAACACCAAAATTTTAGGGGCCCTGCAGTGGGCCCCAAACCCGACGCCAAGGGGGCCGAGGGTCGGCTTTGTATCCAAAGACTGTCATTCCTAAAAAGAAAAAATGCACCCCCCTTTCAAATAATCCTGGATCCACCCCTGTCATACCACCTGTAAACTGCGTTCAGCAAAATAAAAAAAAATGGTACATTATCTGCGGAATAAATGTCAAATATGTTGAAAAGCGCTTCAGCTTTTACATATTTGAACGTTTTTAATGATTCGCTCTTCTTAGGGGTTGGCTTGAACCAATAACTGCCTTTGATTTCATTCTTCTCTTTAACCTCGTAGGTGAAACCACAAATATATCTGAACGGTGGTACGTAAGTCAGACAGTTTCCGTTTGATCTGAAACCTACCAACAAAGCTTCTGTGGCTCCGTTAGGTAACGGACACAGCTAGAAACTTACAAGTATGCGGGTTCGAATTCGAGAATGTTCCTTGTAATATTTTTGTCAGAAATAATTTCTAAAATTTGCGTTTCATTACTATAAGATGAACCACTGACGTACGGAAGGCGGGTGCGTCAGTCACGGCAAATGGTAACAGAAAGTCACGAGTTCGAATTCCAGATGACGTATGTCAGCCCGTCACGACTACGACCTGGACCCGGAATCAGGAATTCGCGAAAACGATCGAGGCTCTCGTGGTTCAAGGCATATTACCTTTACCTTTTGAAAAAAAAAGGTATCGTTTGGAATAAGTGATTGATTTGACCACTTATTGCTGTTTAATTTGTACTAGTGTAAATAAAAAAAAATTGGCATCTGATCCAAAACAAATTCAGCAGTAATTCAGTACTAATATTTGAAAACATTCAGTTTCCCGACAAAATTGTCAACATGCGACGACTTAATTTGAATATTTTGTTCTTATTTTCCAGTGTCCGATAACTAAACCCATATTCATCATCGGGCCCTCTCGATCAGGCACGACATTTCTACAGAACCTGTTGTTTCAAGACCCTCAAAATACGTCCATGAAGGTATATGAGTTAAGACAGCCGGTGTCCGAGATAACTTCTGTGGACAAACGCATAGCGGCAATCAAACAGGAATTAGGTATATATATTAATTTTCACGTCTAGACACGTTTACACAGAAAAAAAGGTCGACCATTCCTGGCTGCAGATGTAGTCTCTCTTTTCTCCTGACCACTGCGCAAAAACATAGTTTTCCTGCTATTTCAGCAAGTTATACTTGGTACTGTATCCAAAACTGATCACAGAATAAGAATCAATAAGTCAGATTTTAAGTTTTTAGCTTTTGAATCACTCACATTACGAAGATGGCGAATTTAAGGGTAAAAATTGATATTTAAACTCCCAAAACGGGTTTATAGATAAAACATTTCTTAACAATTAATGATGATATTTCTATGACTTTTTTTGCTATTTAAAAGTGCCAACTCGCATTGTTTGTCTTAAATTTCAGACATGGCTTTCGACGCTTACCCTATGGCTAAGACCATTCACTACATTCGGCCAGAGATGCCATACGAATGCTTTTATATTTTTCGCAATGTGGGTATTTTCACCGTCGCTCCCATACTGAGTAGCAACCCCAGTGATTACTATAACTGGCTTCGTGCGAGGACTAAAGCGCAGATGGTGGAGGCTTACCGCTTCCACAAGAAACAACTTCAGTTAATTTTACTTGCAAGGGGAACAGGTATAATGTTGCCTTGTTTGATTAATTGCCAATATTTTATCGTAACTGGGGAAAAGTGATTATTCTAAATGTAGGTTAGTCCTGGTTCGGTAGGCACAATGGGTGACTAAACTAAGGAAAGCTATATATAAATGATGATTAACAATACTGTCCCTTTTGAGTGGTAGGTACATCGAAATATAATACATACATGTTTATGTGTTGATAACCTTTGAAGGCGGAGAAGTTAGTAAATAATATTTCATACTGCAAGAAGCTACATGTAGCGCTTTGCAGAAAAAACAACGCCATACTGATGTTCGACTAGGTGTACTTGTGTATTTTCAGATTTCATCGAAAAGAGGCAACACCTTTTCCTAAAAGAGGCAATGCACAGCGCTCACCTAGACGCCATACTGGAGGTGTATCCCGACGCTCGTTTTATCCATACGTTCCGAAACCCTTGCGCAACTGTGGCGTCCCTTTGTTCTCTCAAGGAGTGGACACTTCGAATGTACGGCTGCAAAATTGATAAAAGTACACTGGAGAAGATAGGTCAGATATTTTTACGCAACCCCTTGTTTCAAAGTGGCAACGAGTTGGTGAGGTTCAGAAAAAAACACAAGGAGGAAGAAAGCCGTTTTATAGATATTAATTATGAAGATCTTGTTGCATCTCCAATCGAGGCTGTCAGGCGGATATACGGACACTTTGGAATGACATTGTCTGATCAAGCTTTAGAGAAAATGAACGCTTACCAACGAGAAAATCCCCAAAACAAGTATGGGCGCCATAAGTACAATTTGGCAAGATATGGCCTTGGGGAGGAGGAGGTGTTAGAATATTTCAAAGAGTACATAGATTATTTTGACGCTTCTGGGTGGTAGGATGGGCGGCCACTGAAGTGCTATGGTGCATTTACATGATCATTATTTAACAGTTTTGTGTAATGCCATAGCAAATGAAAAGCATCTTGTCTTTGAGATATTAACTGTAATCTTGGATCAGCCAGCGATTCACTTTGTATGTTAAAGAAACAAGTAATTGTAAATTGCGATTATTTGAAAAGTTGACACCGAACGTTAAACATTCCGAAAACGAAATTTAAATCCCATTGTAAAATATGTGCATCCTCAATCAGGAACATTATGCAACATTTTCGGTAATCTAGAAAACTCGTTAGCCATTCAAATGTGCGTTGATAAAATCATTAAGAGAAAAGGCCCCAATGTAAACTGATAAATAGGGGCTAGGCCAAAACCCGAAATACAACATATCGTTGAATGTATGCTGTGTAAATATTAGGGGATTACGGAAATATAGAAGCAATGTAGAATTAACTATTTTCTGTCAGAAGTTGGATTATGTGAAACGTGGCGGACGCGAAATGACAACTTTACAGGTATAGTTCCCGGGTTTACAAACCTTGACAGCCCAAAAAAATCAGTGACGGATTTAGAAGAGTGGCAGGGGGGTTCTGACCCCCTCCCCACCTTCCCACCCGCCCACCTCGGTTTCTGAAAAAAAAATCACATCAATATTCTCCTCTTGAAATTAGAATTTTGAAGCGCTGAATCATAGTTCTAAACGTTAAACTGCACCAAATGGCACCGTTTGCCCTCCAAAACACCGAAACCCACACCAAGGGGGCAAGGGTTGTCTTCGCATCAGAGACCTCTCATTCTTAAAAAAACTGGACCCCCCTCCTTCAAATAATCCTGGATCCGTCCCTGGATAATGCACTCACCATTCGTTATTTTTTAATACACACTGGAGATTTCCTCACGACATAACAGTTTTTTAATTACTGAGAAACAATTTCATGTTTCCGAGCTTTTTGGTCAAGTGTATAGGCCTAATGTGCATCGCCACCAGACGTATCTGTTGTGTTAGCGCAAGGTTTGCAAAACTTTATACCTTGGGCGAATACATCAATACACCGCCTTGATTCGTCCAAGAACATGCAAAATTTCTTATTCTATTGAATATTTTAAATAATTATAATTATAGATGAACGTGCCGCGCGTGTCAAAAATTTCGAATTTTTAAGTGAAAAGAAACATAAGACAAACTGTGTTGTCTTTATTTCCATCGATTTATGTTTCAGATTGTTGGATTGAATTGGGATCGTATCACTACAGGTCCCATCTTTAGGCCCAATAGGATGGGTAGATTTTAAATGGTTCGTTCTTCGTGGGGAAAAAACGGATGGTAAAAGTTGAAATCTTTTGTTTTGACTTTGTTTCCATAGATCTGTTTTTAAGACTGAAGGAATTTATTTAAAAAGCTCATAAATTATCAAATCAAAACTAATTTTATTTATTCCATAAATATATAGCCCTTCGAACGCATATTTAACCAGCGGATAGCCAAACTTGACTCTATATAGATAAGTTAATACGTGTTTTATTTTTCATTCATTTTTCATTCCCGTAAAGCTTGAATTCTCTAATTTTTCAGTGAGGTACTTAGGCCCTATATCTTTTGTGCTCTACATGCAAGCATGCTATTATATAGCGCTCATCCTTGGACAAAAATATGAATCGTATTATTTGTCCTAGTCTAGACGCAAGAGCAAGAGATTTCTGCTGGCCTTGGAAAAGGAGAAGGTTCAGAAGTTTTTCTGATAAAAAAATACGGCCCTGCAGCCTACCTGTATGACACTATTCATTATTAAAATAGTTTGAGGTAAAGTGTGGACAGGGAAAATTGTTGTGAATTCCAATATAGTGAGTTTAAGCCATAAGAAAATGACGATTTATAAAAATGTTACTGAAAAAAATCAGGGTTAAATTTTGCTTTCCATCACAGTTCGAAATTGAAAGTGAAATTCTTTTTACTGTTAAAATATATTCTGCTGTATAGAGACATACAGGCCTACTATCGATGATGAAGACGAATATTAGGTCTGTAGAATGTGTAGACTTTTTAAATATAAAATGAGTCACATATTTGGCACATTATCTTTTTGTTAATTTATGAATGTTATTTCACATCAAGTTAAGATAATTTCAGTGCCATAGTAGTGTTGACTTTGCTTTTGGTGCGCTCCGCACAATCAAAACGCACCTATCCGATCCATGTTTTATTGGTAATTTTTCGAATCTCCTATTATAAAAGAGCCGAAGAGAGAATAAGTGTCAAACTTTCGTAGTTTCATCGAATAAAAACAAAGTGGAATTTAGTTCTTTATACATAAGGTAAGAGAATATAATCTATCAGACAGCAGACTGATTGTGGTACAATCCAAAAAGCATAGTTCACTTCACTAAAAATAGATAATTAATGCGTTAATATTTGTCTTCTTAAACAGTGACTGAATACAATAGTAAATAAAAACCATCAATGTTCTTACACTTACCGTTAAAGAAGATTATTTACTTGTTAAATGTATCGTGATATCATAACCTCAGGGTAAAATAAACAATGGCATTTTTTAATGGGGCTAATTATGTAAGACAAGTTTACTATTGAAGAGGGGTCGTTTCATGTGTTTGAGGTCCATCAGTAGATTGAAACGGCAAGGTACATGTATGGCCCCTATATATGGTATAATGGTGTGTTTCATGTTATCTCTGAAGCTCAGGGTGTCAATAGACAGACTACACTGACATGAATACTCTAGTAGTGGGACCACTCACTGACTAAGTTAGACATCTCTTCTATATTCAGATCCATGTAAATGTCAGTAATACATTGGGGGAACGAGATGGCTTGCAGAACACACTGGGGTTGACAAAAGGATGCACTCATAGGATTAAGATACCATGGCAACTCCTTGTAACATTGTAACCATTTGCCCATCTGTGGATGCCCTGAGTGCAGAGGAGAAAATCAGTGTGAAGTGCCCAGAGTGCGGGGTGAAGTTGTCTCAGCAGTCCATGCTCCAGTTACACCTGTTTAAAGCCCATGGTATGACACAGGTAAAGGTTTGCACCCTGAGGGTCAGTGATTTTTTTCTGAAAATCTGTGAAGAGTACATGCTATAATACAGGTAAAGCTTTGCGCCCTATACGATATGATATATTTATTTAATATTCAAAATGTAAATTATGAATAAAAGTATGTACATGAGTAACACAAGAAAAGGAATACACTTATTTCCATTGTGGTCAATGTTTGGAATGATCTCATTAATTACTACTTGGTAGCATCAATCCTGAGGTCAATGATTTTTTTCTGAATATCTGTGTAGAGTACATGCTATAATACAGGTAAATCATTGCACTCGAGTGTATAATTGATTTCTTCTAAACACACCTTTAACAGATTTTGTCTTTGTCATACTATCTGAAAGATTCATTAACAAATTTATTATTAAATGTGATCAACTTTGTAAAAAGTAATAGAGTAATATTTTATTTGATGATCAGTATCGTAGCTCCCTGTGGAAGAATTGTATTGTGACTTGCATGAGCATTACTATAGGCTGCTAAAGTAACTGTACACCAAAACAGTAATCTTGAATGAGTCAAGTGTTCGAAAATTGCAGTAACTGCTCCATTATTTGCAGGATGGGACTCCTGTAGCTAAAGATGCTGCCATACATTACCATTGCCCTATGCCAGAGTGCATTTACAGGAAAGATGGAGGGCACAAACATTTTCCTGTTTTTAAAAAACTCAAGCAAGTGAGTATTAAGAGTATTAAGTGGACTTGTGTTTTCAATGCCTTTTAGGTAAAGGGACCGTTCCCAGGCCCTATTTAAATAACTGTGGATATCTCCAAGGGGATTCTCGCTAAAATGCAGTCAACTTAAGCAGCTTAGATGTCTGTCACACCTACTGAAGCTGCTAGGGGGGTAATTTATTATCATTTCCCTAATGAAAAAGCCCTATAGGAGCCTATAAGATGCTATAGGATCCTATATACGCAATTGAGCCAATTTCCTATAGAATCCTATAGGATCTTATAGGATCCTATAGGACTCTTTCCTAAGGGCTAGCAGCTTCAGCAGGCCTGCCAGACATTTAAGCTGCTTAAGCTGACAGCAATTTAGCAAGACACCCCTTGGAGTTGGATCAATCCTCTTAGATAATCTATTGATCTAGGCATGGGAACCCAGTCAAAGATGGCAAAATAAGAAACTTCTTTAAAAGAGATAAAATGTGTTTTTTAACCTACATTGTATAAGGCATGTTTGACCCTTGATTGTAGGACCTTGAGCACATGACTTACTCACTGATTACTATATTTTGTCATTCAGCATTTCATGAAGGTACATGCTGAGAAAAAGTACCAGTGCAGCAAGTGCAGGCGGAATTTCGGACTGGACAGAGACAGGAAGTGGCATGAGGAATCCTGTGGAGTCACCTACACCTGTAAGTCATGTGACCACTGGTATTTTACGAGAGAAGCGTTGGCCACGCACTGTTCCAGAGCAAACCACCCCTACCCACAAGAGTACAAGCCAAAAAAGGCCAGGTAATGATTGGGGGAAGGGGGTATGGTAAAAAAACAAAATGATATAGTCGTCTTTTTTAGTTTCATTTTATGCTAATATAAGCCAAGTCATACTAAGGAATATTTGACGGAGGTGTTCTATTTGTGACATGCTGTACAGAAAGCAGAACGTATACAGAAAAAATAGCTCATTACTTTTAAATGTATATAATGTCTATTAGACCTTTTAATAGCAAAAAAAAAAAAAGCTGGAATTTTCAATTATTTTCTATTACTTATCAGGTTATACCCTATGCAATACCATTGAAAAAAATATGATCTATAAACCAAAGATAAATTTACCAGAAGAACTCAATTTAATTGAAAGGATCTTCAAAGAGATGAATATTAGTACAAAGTGTAGAAAGTAGAAATATAAATAAGAGTATTATTGAATTTTATTTCATGTTATTATATACAACTCTGAAAACTGCACATACAATGCATATCCTTGAAATGTTTAAATTTCCCAATGTTTACAGTTTGTGTTCTGTGGTTTTGTTTAAATTGATCTTGGTGCAAAATTTTAATAATATTATTGCATCCTATTTAGCACTGCTAAAAGCAAAGGCTCAGCTGTCACCCCTCCATTGCCAGACATGGTATTCCAAGTGTATGTAGAAGGACCAAAAATGTCACTCAAGCCGAAGACTTCACCTGCCTCGAGACCCTCTGGTCTTAAGCCCCTCCTCCCCAAATCTAATGCACCAGAAAAAATGGCTGCCATCCAGTTAAAAGGTTTGTATGTCTGTATGATATACAGTGTGTGATGAAAAGGACCTTTGTCTATGTGGGATGTGTGAGTGACATCATCCTCAGGAACTGTATGTTTAGTACAATGAGCCCTGTGGAATTTTGCCAATATTTCATGTGTTAATAATAATAATAATAATAATAATAATAATTTCTTAAAACTGCTCTACACATGCGTCTCAGCTGTGTTTACATTTACATATAAAAACTAAAACTACAAAGATAAATTAAAAAGTTACATTAAAGTATTTTAAATTGAAAGATAAAAGTTAACCAAAATATTATTTAAATAAAAGGATTTTTAGATTCTTTTTAAAACAGTGCTAAGAGTCATTTAAAGACACATTTGATATATAAAATTGGACCATAAAGTGAACCATATTTCCAAACTCCTGTGACCACATGTTTTAGGAGTCTTTTTGGTATTGTTTCGCTTGAGTTGAAATTGACCACTGGAATGAAGAGTTCTAAAAGGAGATATAAAGTTCTGTTATATTGTTCATGTAAAATGGACAGTCACCTTTTAATATTTTGCAAGTCAAGAGCAATATATATTAAATATTCTTTGAGACACGGGTGACCAATGAAGATCGCGGAGAACTGGTGTGATGTGGTCGGACTTCTGAGTTTTACAAAGGAGACGGGCTGCTGAATTCTGCATAGACTTTTCCATTTGATAGTTGGGTATTCGAACAATAGGCTGTTGCAATAATCGAGTCTAGAAGTCACGAATGCTGTTTGCTTGCTGTCAATAAGGTGAAGAATCTTAGATATTCATTGCAGATTAAAATATGATGATTTACACACATTGTTAATGTGTGATGTTATGTCACATTTGTTGTTGAAAATTATACCCAAGTTTCTAATTTCTGTGCTTGTTGTGATACAGAATCTCTAACTCTGATACTATCTAGTATGTTGCTGACTAAAGACTCATTTAACAAGATCCTTTAGGTAAAAAGCCTAATAGGTATGAGTTATAACTAATTAACACTTTGTCAGTTGTAAACATTTTACATTTTCCAACCAACATGATGCTGATTCTGGTCAAATTGAACCAGTATTTACGGTCAATATTCACCGTTTTCCTAATATAAGATTTATTGTACTTTAATATTACCAGTTAAATCTTTCCTCATATCTTTTGATAAATATTTTCTGTTTGTTCATATATAAAGTAAAAGCAAAAATGATATATGTTATTAAATGATAAATGTTATTAAATGAAATAGAAATTATTATTTAAAGTGGGACTCCAAAACTTTAAAATTTCATTATTACGGGCATTTTCACAGTGATAATTATAACATCTATGCATATATATTTCAAAAGTATGAATTTATTGCTTTCTGAAACTTGGTTATACTTTTATCCAGGTCCAGTTATGCATTTTTTGCCATCCCATAATACTCAAAGTGTGGACACACAGACAGAGCCAGGCATCAACCAGACTTCTATGGCCATACAGACACTCCCCTCATTGAACAGATATCAGGTTATTACATAGTTTTGTTATTGGAATACTGTAATACAGTTGTGCTTGGTAGATAACATATATTGTCATTTAATAATTTGAACATTTTACATGCCTGTATATATTGAGATTAAGATATTATAGGATTAAATAAGAATTAAAATTAAATTAGTTTCATGACTACCCCATGTATTGAAAACTGTTGTGCAACAGACTACTCTGAGCCCTTTCCATAATGGATATGAAGTAAACTGTACTTTTGAAATGAATAATTTTAAAGTATTTATTTTACAGCCACATTTACAGACTCCTATTCCAGGAGGCACAAATTCTGCCATATTATCACCTCACAGGGGCCTGGCCTCAGGTAATAATAATAATAATAATAATAATAATAATAATAATAATAATAATAATAATAATAATATTTGTTGTGTAGCACATTTCACTAAGTACTTGAACACTTCCACTGCACCTAGCACTTAACGTGTTCTGTACAGTTTAAGATTTTAAAAATATTATAATACTAAAATTATACATTGTTACTTTAAATACAAAAAGGAAAGGAGGGACATTAGCCCTAAAAACTTTTTAAAATGTGAATTTTTAAAGAATTTATAAAAATTCCATTTCAGGCCAGCATACTCTCTATGCCGCGAACTTCAGGACTGCTACGGCCACGCAAACGAGAGACAGACGAGAGGTCAGCACTGAGACCCAGACACTGACCAAGAGGAGCTGGCAGGTGGCGGGAACACAAACTGCAGGGGACTATATAGTGAGAGAGGCAATGAAGGCTGCCCATATACCTGCTGTTAAGATATCTAAGGGGTCACAGGTAAATTGCAATTTGAATTTTTTCCAGTAAAAATTTTTTAATATGTTAAAATACTGTTTCAGTATATTCTTTTCTCATTGTGAATTTTTATATGATGATATTTCATGAAGTGATCTTTTTTACAGTGGTACATTTCGTCTTCAAGTTGGTGGTTTTTTCATTGAAAATGTCTTGGTATAATGCGTTTATGGGGAATATTTCCTTTCATATTCAGAAAAAAAATATCAGCTGCGTACATTAATAAATTTCGTTGATAGTTTTCTCAATCATCATCTTAATAAAGGTTCAACTGTTCCCTAGTATTTTAAAACCTTTTATTTAATTTTTTTCATCTGCCTTTTAACACTGTAGATCAGTTATCATTGGAAAAGTGGCAAATACCAGATAATGTAGACCAGTATTTCTTCATAACACCAAGCCTGTCTAGTAATTATAATTACACCTTAATTATGTTAATCACAGTAAAATTGCATGCTGCATCTATATATATAGGTCTCCCCGAAATCAGCGGCCCGTGGACCATCCCCGAACTTCAAACATGTCAACCAAACATCACGAAGAAGGAAAAATAGACCAAGAAGGTCGTCTGCTCCATACACGATCACGTGCCAACAAACACAAAACAAAACCCTTTCCAGGGACTCCAACACTGCAACAGCATCTAAGCAAGGAACTCCACATGAAACAGCTGTAGGGAGCACTAGGTCTGAGTTGATTGGTCAGAGAGGGCCCCATTCCAGCATGGTTAATACTGTTACCATGGCAACACGTAATACTGCTACTGTGGACAGTGGAACAACTATGGATGATTTGCCTTGGAACTCTGCATGCAGCACAGATTTGGCATCTGCTAGTGCTGTGAAGACTTCAACAGGCCTGGCATCATCATCGTCTGGGGTCTTTGTGCACCGTAGGCCACGCAGGAGCAACAGAACTTTAGCCCACACTCTACCGCAGCCACTATCTCTGACAGATTTCACAGAGAGTGGCACACAGACCTCAGCTTTGCTGGAAGAGCTGGAGAAATTAGCGGAAAGCATTGCCACACAGACTCAGTCAAGTTTTCTTAACACCCAGCACTTTGGTGAAACTCAAAGTTCAGAGACACAGACTGCCATTTCTACGTTAGATAGAGAGATCAGTCCAGATAGGATTATCCGTGAGAGGCTAACCCCTGGTTCTGGACTGAATATAAATGCAAATATTCTTTATGGACACAAACAGAACAATGCAAATCAGAGTGAAAATCCTCTAATTTCTGTTTCACCAACAACAGGGCCTATGATTGTGGGTTGTCCTGGGATTAGAGAAAACCAAGAAGATGAAATGGGTAACCCTGATGTGACAGAAATGGGAACAAGTACCAGGACCTTTGGGTTCACTCACATGGAGACCCAGACAGTAGAAAATCCTCTCTTGGGGGCTATGTTCAGTGACTCAGGCGTCCAAACAGCAGATGATTTCATGAACATGGAGACTCAGACGGTCAATGACTTGGTGGATGAGTTCCTCAGCTGCATGGGCACACAGACAGATGACATATTGTTTCCTGATCTGTCATTGGCTGACATACAGACCCAGACTGAGGCTCCAGATGACAGTGCCACAGTGTCGTCTGCTTTCTCTCAGTCAAGCAGCATCACTGGACTTGAAATACACTCACATCAAAGACACCTGTCCATGAATATCTCTACCACCTCTAGAGCCATGGATTGTCAAACGCAGACAACAGAGGCTCCACCTAGTGGCAACATCCTGTCTAATATTGAAATTCAGACCAGTTTGCACTCATTGCCCTCTTCTGCTGAGCTTACTCAGTCATCAGAGATTGAGACACAAACCAGATTCTCTGCAAGCATAGACTGTCATACACAGACTATGATGGACAGGGATTTGCAGTCCTTGTTAGAAGAATTGGAAGAAAAAAGTGTTTAGCTGAATGGAGTCATCTTATTAAAGAGACACCAAAAAAAGAATTTACAAAATACTTTTTGTGGTCCATGTTTTCACACTGTTTCATTTGTAAAAAATGTTTTGTTCATAATTTTTTTTCTGTTCATGAAACAGTCAAAAATCACTGTAATTTATTCTTCATCTCATAAATGACTGTTGTTTCTGTTGAACTTTTTTATCAATCTGGCAAACCAGTGCTGATGAGAATCTAACTTCCTCTGTTGAAAGAGATAATAATCATTGCTGAACTTGGAATAATTGATTCATTCAAAACAGAGTACCATAAGTTCAGTGAACAGTATGTGGAGACAGTACATTGGTTCACATAAAAGTTAGATTAAATCTTGATGAAGCATTTTGCATTAAGCAAAGAAGATTGTTCATGTTTGATGCAAGTTGGTTTCACTTTTGAGTTTTATTCTATTTTTCAATTAATGCAAAGTTTCACAAAAATGGAACTTGAAAAGGTTGGGAGTCCAACCTTCCAAATCTAATCGCCAATTTTGTTATGTGTTTGATTACAATAAAGTTGATTTAATTATGTGACCATGCCTGCTCACTGAGTAAAAAAACTTGACAAAACGTTTTAGGCAATCTCTAATATTAGTAATAATATGAATCTCCATATCTTTGATGCATCCAAGTCCATATGTAACATCCTGAGTTTCAGCAAAACTTGACCCTATTACTACCAATATTCAATAAACTCTTAATTTGGAGGGGGGGGATGCACAAAGGTTAGGGAGTTTTTACTTTTAAATTATTTTCTTCCTCTTACTTGGAGACATGGCAATGGGAGTCAGCAAATAAATTCTACAGGCATGAGATGTTTTTGTGGAACTTTGATTTTAAATTCAGTTCCAAGGTGACCCTAGAACTGAGCTGATTAAGTGTTCTCAGAGATGTTTAGCAGATTTTTTTTATAAAACTCAATCTCAAGCCTTATTCTGTCTTTATGGTTTTTGATAAAAAGTAAAGAAGGCTGGGTATAGTTCCTTCAACAAATATTATTGGTAAAGTTGCAAATTTCCTGAGTTAATATTATGCTGCTCGAAGTTTCTGTGCTTTATGGGCACAATCAAAGTGAATTCACTATGGCGAATATAAATTACAATAATACACAATGGAAATAATTGAAACCTTAAGAGAGTGACAGAACAAACGCCATATAATCTTTTTCTCTTTAGCATTTGCAACAGTAAACTAATTACATGATATTTTTATTGCAGATAATTTTAAGTAAAGCTGACACACTAATTTGCGAATTTACGTCAAAGGAAAGATACATAAATTTTTATTATCACAACTCTAATTATATACATTGTCAAATGCTGAGCTAATAATTCACAGTTATTAATAGCATAACATTTCAAGTATGCTCATTGGACATTAATATCTCAAAAAGAAAAAAAAATCCCTGGAAATGTCAGCCATTTTTCCATTTATTACCCAAGGTATACTAAGTTTTTTTATCCCAAGCTGTTGGGAAAATTGCAATTTATAAATTTGTTTTCAAGTTGTTAAGTTTAGCCATCATGACGATGCATTTGCTAGGCAGCATGCTAGGCTCCATTTCCATAATGAAATCAATAGTTTGAACACTAGAACTTTGCCATCATTCAAATGGTTTGTACTGCTAGTTATAGTACTTTGAACTTGATCTTACATCAAAACAAATTGATTGTGTGTACACCTCTTGCTATACATGCGAACATGGGTTTGTAGAGCCCATTGTTCTTTCCATAAAGAAATTATTAGAAAATATTAAAAGTTTAATCATGTTTTTGACAGGTTGAGACAGAGATACCAGTGGAAAGGTTCATTTTTTTCTAAAATGATGTGTTACTTAACACAGAATAAGCACAAATGAAAATGAATTATGATTGCTTTAACTGTTTAACCTTTTTCATAGGTAAATAAGTAAAAACTTATAAATTGAAACCTGCCATATTTGATTAATATGTTATTTGATCTAATATGCAACAATCATTGATGCAGCACACTAATTTATCGTTAATTAATACATAAGTCTAATACATTAAATGATTATTCCATCTTGTGTAATGGATTAATTGACTTGGTTTTAAAGTAATTAATCATGAAGGCTTTGCATTTAATGAAAGGGGTCTGGATTGACCAAATTACAAACCTTCTATATCTAACCCTTGCCTTGCCATTTGTGTGCATTGTGAAGTGTGCAGTGGGGAAGGATGGCGGGAAACAAAATTAATACATGGGCCCATCTTAAACATATACGTATATAAAGGCTTCTTTTATTACACAAATCAAGACCTGAAATTTTTCAGTGAACTCAAATGATGTCAAAGTTTAAGTACTTAAAAAAATGCTCACCCACTGAGCTAAGAACTAACCTTTGGTAACAAGAAAAACAATTAGATATTGTGTTAAAAGAAATTTTATCTTGAACAAATGCTGTTTTAAAGATGCATATGAATTATGTGAATTTTTTGTCACAAAAGTCAGCCAAATGCCAGCATATAGTTTCAAATAGTATAACTAAGAGAATTACCAAAAGACATGACTCTTTTTGGTTGATCGAGTGACTTATTTAATTTATCCCTTGGCATTTTCAATTTATTTGAGTTGGATAAGAAACTAGAAGAAGTGGTTTATATGCATTTCTGGGAATCTATACGCCACCGACGATCGTTTTATTAGCACTTTAATAGCAAAAAACATAGTTGGACCATTTCAAGTGAATTACTGTGATGATGTTTGAAGGTCCTTGGCAGTAGGAGGTTACAGTAAATTACTTGCTGCTACCTGTGTAATTTTTGCCCTGGCACATTAACTGTTAATCGACTGTCAATAAATCTGGCTCCATTGGAAGAAACACCCCAAAGGTAAATGTCAAATATCACTGGCAAATTCAACATAACAGACTAATCACACAACTGGGTATTGATCAGAAATTCAAAGAAATTCAGCGTAATGCATTTCTCTGGGTTTAATAACAGCTTCCACTGTTTACACAGTGGTATCGTGGTTGCCAGGAAAAAGGCAAGAACTTGGGAGAATTATAAAAGTGCCAGACTAGCCTGGGGGTAATCAAATGTACTTGTTATTTCCTTAATTAACAGAGTTATAGGGACACTTCATCTAGTAACTCTGACAATTTTCAAGTATACACAGACCACCTCTGTTTGAGTTTACATGCTCAAGGAAACAAATTTAGTTGCTAAAGGAAACTTTCAGAATTTTTTCTTCTTTTATTTTCATCTATATAATTTTTAATCCACTTTGACAAAAATGATGTTAAAAAGAATTTAAATGAAAATCTGAAGGTTTTAAGAGGATTTTTTTATTTTAAATACATGAAATATTGAAATATTATAAAATAACAAAATATCAAATGTTATGATGCCTTGTGCTGTGATAAAAATGCATTGAAACCCTAAAGCAAGAGGATGTTGCATTTAAAAAATCAGTATAACTTTGTAGATTTTTCTCCACATACTACAGGTCTGAAGCAAATTGAAATAAAAAAATTAAATAACCACCACTCTGTATGATCATAATGTTTGGGATTGTGAATCAGAAACTTGGCAACCATATTTTCAATCAATTCAATTGAAAAAAAAAAAACTTTATCACTGCATGGCCAACTCCCACATATTCTATACAGTAAAGTTATTCTCACGTTTTACACAAAGGCTACCTTCATATATAAGAGTCAGAAATGGTCCACTTGTTTAGTTCATTCAGTTTCATGATATTTGGTCTTTATTGTATCAGCTATCAAAAGATTAGGTGTAAAAACCTTAAGAAAAACCCTTGGGTGCATGCACTGAAAGTATACAAGGTCTTTCTTTGTGTACTCAGATGATTTGGTTATTTACTCTCATAAAAACATTAGTTTACATATTGACCATATTAATAAAAAAATGTTTGAAAACCTTTAAATAAGGCAAAAATACAAAGAAACAATGCAGCAGTATTTTCTGTAAACATTGAGGTCAGTTGTTAAAGTTAACCCGTAAAAGAGGCCATTTGTATGTAAATGAGGCAAGCAATGATCAATGTTTGTTGTTAGCCGGGCGGGCGTTCAGAAAGCAAAGGAACGCGATACCAGGCTTTCTTTCCACTCCAATCACCTCAATCACTGCGTGTGAATTGTCAAAATTGAGCCTTTATTGCAAACAGCATGCCCCTATAGTCTGCAGGGTAGATGTGTTTGAACAGTCAACATGGTTCATGTGGATGTGTTTCTATACAAATTTACAAAAGCTGATGAACTAGTCCCTTCCTTTGGAAGGAACAAGACGCAAATCCTTGGCTTTAAGTTGCAATGTCACATTAAAAATATTACAAAGAAAAACACTGACTTCAATTCAAACTGGTTGTGCTCTGTGGATGGAACAAGGAATGAATTCATTGGTTTTTCATTGACTCTTGTGACTTGACTAAAGAAAAAAAAAAGAAAGTCATTTCTAAATACTGAGAGTAAACGTCTTTCTGGGAAAAATAAATGTTCAGTGTAAAAACAGTTCACTTTTTTTTTTTATCAATTGTACACTGAAGTGAATAGAGACCTATATGTCAACTTTTCAATACTGCAAAGACAAACATTTCAATTCAAGCATGTTTAATTTTTCTTCTGACATCCTAAAGTCATATAAAGCCTGTTTATCCAAATGATTTGAACTTCAACTCAGCAAACGTATTGCGGCCCTACTGCATATTTGCACTGTCAGATTTTACGCTGACACAGAAACATGCTATCTACATTAAACAATCTTCCTAATCTTCACGACGGACTGGTGTAATTTTAAGGTAACCATGTTGTGTCTTGCCTGCGAGACAAGGTCTCTTGTTGTGAGCTCTGACAAAGTCCTTTCAATCTAGCGACAAAAAATTGTGAATTGTTTGGCAAGCAATTCTTGAGAGTTTTATACTGAATGTTTGTTAATTTTGACATCTTAGATCCCAAAACAGGCCATTCTGCAGACTATAATTCACGTTTTGTCAACTACTGAGTACAACAGAAATGTATCAGATTTATCTGACAAGGAGACAATTTTCTATTATTCAAAAGTCCAAAAAAGTCTCAATCATTTTGTGATAAAAGCAAGAATAGAATTTTATCACATTATTGTTCACCCATGTTATCTTTCTTCTTCACAACTTTTTCAACTATTAAATCAAATTCACTGATTATTCAACATTGTCTTGCAGCATTACAATTGAAATATTCAAACATATCAGATTTCTTCACATTTCAGCTGCTTTATTGCCATCTTTTGTTACAGTTAAATAACTGCAGTCCTTAAAAGCAATACTTTTCAATAATGCAGACATTCAGTTGTTTAATGAACATTCAGTGTGACATATTTTTAGGGACAATAATTATAGTTACAGGTGGGATTATATGTCATTATGGGTTGACTCTTGACTTGAGAAAAAACAACATCGGTGGTATCATTTAACAGTAATACAGTGCCCAATGTTCAGTTCAAAAGAACCAAAAGCACCCCGAGTCAACATAACGAGGGAGAGGGAAATCATACAACCATATTGCTCATTTAACTTGGCATATTTTCACTTTTCGTGGCTGTCACATTGAACTTATGATTGTCAATTCTCTGACCTTATCTAACAGTTTTAACAAAGATTAAGCATTTACAACAATAACAATAACAATATAGAAAAACAAGAATTCCTCATCAACTGTTAACTGAATCTAACAAGCATTATCTTGCAAGTTAAATTTGTGTAATAATATATTACTGCCATTAGGTATAGCCAAGTAGTATCTACTAGTATTTTAACTTAGCCAAATTGCATACTCTAATGCAATTTATTTCAATGAACAATTTTACAACTAAAATATTGTCTAAATATACATGTATATCATTTGAGTTGCTTAATAATGAGAAAGTCAGTATAATTCATGTATGAAAATACCAAGGCCAAAATGAATCAGTCTTTGATAAAAACTGAGCTACTACGGAAAGAGACCTAAAGGCTTGTTTTTACCATAGTCAGCTATGCAGAGTACAACATACTAGTATTCTATAGCCAAATTTACAAACGGCCTGGCAGTTACATGACTTTGTTTGAACCAACAGGAACTTCAATTCTTTTCCCAGAGATCTGAGGTAGAATATTACCTTTAAATGGGTTATTTAACGTGTCTGGCTTGTCACTTAAAGTCATTTCTCTATCTTTTAAAATCCCAAGAGGAGCAGCATGGAAACCATTCAGAATGAATTTCGTGCTCGAATCATCTGTGTCCAGGATTACGCCCTTTGCTTCTTCTTTAATACCTGACTTTGTTGGCTGTTTTTGTTTCGATCGATTGTGTTTTGTATTGCGTTTTTCTGAACTGTTCGTCACACTTTTCGTGCTGCTGTACCCTGGTGCATTAGTAGTCTTTCTCTTGCTGTCAGCACTACTGTTATTGCTGCTTCCTCCTGTGTCTCCCCGGGGTCCAACGCCAACACAATATCGTGTAGCGGTCAGAGATCCTTCAAGAAGTTTGGTATCTGGAATATGGTTACTATTGGGCCTACCATTATCAAAATCCCTCATCCACATTCTTTCTTTCTCATACCAGGGAGAGATTTCCTCATAGCCAGCCCCCTGTGGGGTCTCTGGAGATGAGATATTTGACAGCGGTACCGTGATCATGTCCCCCATAAATCTGTTGTGCAACTGATGTCTTGCATTGTTAGCACCGGCCACTGCACCAATGTTTGCTTCTTGCTGCAAGTCCTTACTTCGCCCATGTTTGAACGATTTGTCAGAGTTATAAATTTGACGTACAGAGAAAGTCTCCTGAGCCAGCTGCTCAGTTTTTTGTGGAGTTTTGCCACTGTATTTTGACTTATCACTTTTTAATCTGCCGAGTCGGAACCCTGTGTTGTCTATCTTATCACCATCTGAATTTCCAGATTTTTTGTTGAACTTTTTCAGATCAGAGCGAACTTCCTCCTCAAATATGGATATTTTTGTGGTAAATTTGTCGATGAAGTTCTCACTCACAGTTTTCCCCATCATTGGCAAGTATATGGCAGGCGTATCACTATCCGAGGCAGATTTGGATCGAGGACTGCCTGGTCTTTGAAATTTCAAATCCTTGGTAACAGGACTGAGCCCCTTTTTAGTCCTTCCACTATCAACATTGTTTGTGCTGCTCTCCTTCTGCTCAACAGTCGTTTTGATTTTTTGCATCTCATACTGCTCAAACTCCCTGCGCAGATCCCGTTGTATTTCTTTTTGCAAGACTTTCTGTTCCATGGAAAGAACGACTGGCCTGTCGTACACGTGTCTCTGTATTTTAGTCGGTGGGCCACCATATGACTTTGCAAACTTCCTCGCTCTGTACTTCCCATTATTAGGAACATAACGATAAGTGTGAGCCTCGACTCCGGCTTTCCAGTCTGGGACATACCCAGGCCACACATCTTCATCTGAGCGCGAGGTTAAATTCCCACTGTTGCTGAAATCATTATAATTACTGTTTCGGTAATCTCCTTGAATGTCAGTCTTGTTCTCATTCACTGGAATTGGTTTCTTCGTTTTCCTTTTCTTTGGCACCCGTTCAACAGTTTTTGATGGTTCGATAACCCATCCACCTAGAACATCTACCCAGCTATTGTACAGTATTGGGACTGGTGGGTGCAACAGTTGTTGCTCCACATTTTCACTACATTTCAACAGACTTTTGGTAATCTCACGCTCCTTTTCAGGGTCAAAATTTACTGGTAGAGTAAAGCGCACCTCTATCCCCTCTTCTTCTCCCATATCTCAGTACCAGTCTATATAGTCCATCTTAACTGTGAAGCACATCATTGATCTGTTCTTCCTGCTGCCAATAAATCCCTCAAATTAAATTAATTTCCTCAAAGGTAGCTCAGCCTTTCATGTTGGCAGGTGTCCAAGTCAAATGTGAATAAATTTCTTTTTCATGCTGTTGTGTTGTTTTTTCAGTGTCTAGAAGTTAAATACAAAAATAAATAAATAAAGCACTTGTCAGATAATAGAAATAAAATGCAAAAACAAAAATTCTCAAATTAATTATAAAAATGGATATTCAATTATTTATTTCTAAATTCAAACCTGCAGAAGTTGTTTTTGAATAACCATGCACTTTGATCAAATGGAAAGACTTTGGTTTGAACAGTTATTCAATTAAATCAAGTCATTAAAATCAACAAAAAGCACTGAATCAGTCAAGTTCTTTCACTTAAAAAATATTTTTTTATCCAACTGAAAACACACTGTACTTGATTTTTTTTTTAACAAATAGGACTACCAGAGTCTAGGAGGCAACATTTTTACCATAAAATCAATTTTCTCTGGCAAAGCATTTGGGTGATGCATTGTGAAGTTATGTAAAAATCTTGCTAAACATTTTCTTTCGCATTGGGACTTTGTACAGTACGTTAATTTACCTTCAAATTTTTCACATTGATTTGCACTTAACCAGTTACTACTGAACACCAAATCACGTAACTGTTGGTACTGAGTACATGCATTGTAATAACTTAGACGAAATGTTCATGAAGTTTTTCCTTGCATACAAGTCAAAATAGTGTTCGTTCTGACCGAAGACGTGCGGATTTAAAATATCTATATGCTGTATAAAGAATTTAGGTCAAATTTACAATGGCGGATTGCCATCATTCTTAAAAGATTACGAGCATCTTAAATTAATGTCAGAGAAAAAAATGACTGAGCTTTGCCTGTCGTTTGCACTTTATCGGGCAGCATTTGAACACCAAAACATTTCTAAACAATGACAGAAACACCCACCTATTTGTGAACCCTTCGATTGCCGATATCGTTAGACACCAATAGTTTCAGGTAAATCGGGAATCAATTGACCCTTGCCTGAGCGAGTAAGATGTGATCAACTGCAATCGACTAACAACTGTCAACAAAAGGTGAGTTGACAGGGTGCCCCTTACGTCGCTATAAACCCAAACGTTCACAAGAGCTGGTAACTCACTAATAAATCTATGTAAATTCTCAAATTCTTCTTTTTGGTTGTATTCTGTAAACTTCATTGAATGGCTGAAGTTTATTTATTAAAGGAAAATCATATCAAATTTCATTGCTTTAAGCGGCCATCTGGGAAGTGCCCCGCTCTGCTGCGCAGTTGACTACATTTGCCGCCGTATCCAATTCGCTTTTGTTTCAGTCGCCGAAAAATCTCCATAAGACCACTGTAAAGGCCCAGCATCATGGCTACGTGTAGCCTGCTGAAACGCCGCCAACCTGAAGACGTTACTAGAAAGTTATTGTTGCGAGAAACTGTAGGAGTCACTTATAATAGTCTCTCTCAGGTACGGAGGGTTGCCCGAATTTCTCGAGAGTTGAGGGAAGTGGTTCAGTTAATGGGCATCTCACACGCCGTCGTTTTCACAGATTGAGAAAGCTTTATCGTATTTCTTTGTCTTAAGATAACAGATACATCATTCATTTCTCACGGGTTTTAATATCCAGTTTTTCCTTCCTCGAAATCGTGAAAACTTGCCGCCTATTTTGAGGTATTTTACTTTGACATGCGACGTATGTTGACTTGCATTTACAATGACTTCCTTGTAATGGCTAGCATCTTGAGAGGGGTTGACGTTTATATTGCACTTAAACCCATAAAGCATAAACAGAAGAACTTTTCATATTAATTTATTTGGAATAAAAGCTTTTACCACCAAAAAAACCAGTTGGGATATTTTGTAGTCTAAAAACATTAAACAATAAATATTTGGTGGATTCAAATAGTGGCCTTTCAAGTAGTAATTGTGATAAAAATGATGATGTGTAAAATTAAGTCCATCAATTCTTTTTCCAGGTGCCTTCTGACATTCTTGATGAGTTGGATGAGAGAGAGGATCTGCAAGGCATTCCCACATTGGTAGCAGATCTGGACAGATACAGTGTGTCTGTAGGCACGTGTTGTCACTCCCCCTTCGTAAAACATTCTGTTCTGGAAGATGACGAGGAAGATACATTATTTGAACTTTTAAAGGTATAATTTGTATATTGTTGGATTCTTCATTGTTTTGATTTGAAACATTTTGCAATCACAGGACCAGCAGCATGTTGTGAAGTCTTGAAGTGCATTGCACTTTTTAACAGATGTGACAAAAGTCTTTTCCCAGCAAATTATCCAGTCCTCATTTGGATATGATTATAAGTGCGTGGATAGTATGAGAAATATAGTAAAAATAACAAAGTGACAAGTTCTCCACAAACTTTATTCCATAATGCCCATAAAAATGATTATGATAATAATTACAGGTCAGCAATATAATGTCTGATTTTCCAGAACCTTTTAAGCAATCTCAGTAATTTTGAAACAAGGAGGAGTCATGAAGAAGCAACTGCAGAGGAAGAACAGAACAGATATGCAAAAATATTTAAAGAATATGATGGAATCCGGGTAAGAAATCTGAGATCAGTTTTGATAAGAAAGATATAAGTTCAAAGCATGCATATAACAGAGAAAACAAATCATTTTTGATTAGTGATATGTGATGTTTTGGGGTAACATTCATTTTAGGTTTGGTAATTTGAAGTTAAAATTCATTTTGTGTCACTATAATTGAATGTCAACATCTAATGAATGAGATCTTTAAGGTTAAGATATTTATGATCCTCAGGCCTAGTAAATAAAAATCATGCAATATACTGTATACATATTTTCTTTTGATTTCAGATATTAGTAAGGATTTTAATGTATTCTTCGTGTTTACAACTGACAGCTTGGAGTAGAAAAGGTCAGTTATGGTCAGGCAAGGGTCAAATAAGGGTCAGTTGAAGGGGCAAAAGAAGGAAGTCATTGGGCTCTTTTATAATACAGGAGCTTTGAAATGATATTTTCAGAAATTTTTTAGCAAAATATTTCATATTTGTCCATTTATCAGCATTAAGATTATATGTTACTGATATTTATATAAAGGTTTAAGCATTCCAAAGAGCTGGGTATGGTTATACATGCTTATTTATATTATATTTTAATCATTTGTTATGCATTAAGTAAAGATGTAACATAGTTCTGGATCCTGGCTGATTTCCCAACTGTGTCCATTCCAGGGTTGAAATAAATAAGAAGATGCACTACAATTTACACCCTTCTACATAGTTTAAATACTGATAACTAAAATTTACACATCACTTCTTTGCATAGATTTTCTTATGATATATGTATTAAATCTTTTAAATTTTATTGACTGTATTTTTTCACAGATTGCCAAAAAGATTTGAGGGTAAAAAGTGTATGCATGGAAGCACTCACAAAAATTGTATCTACAGTAAGTATCCATCTTGAGCTTTCCTGTTGTAGCCATAGCCACTCGGGAACATTCCAGTTAAAGTAAAAACATGAAATATATGGGGTGTACGTTTTGCTGAAGTTTATATATCCTTTATGTTTTAAGTCATCTTACATGGGGTGCACGTTTTGCTGAAGTTTATATATCCTTTGTTTTAAGTCGTCTTATACGGAAGAAGTTGCAAGTCACTGCACTTCTCTGACTTCAGTGCTGGATCAATTTTTCCTCTGAATTAATATTGCTTAAGTGAAGAATAAGTCATTTGGATAGAAGAAAATTTTGTACTTTTACTCTGATACAGGTTTTATTTAAATGTTTACATTATCTATAATTTGTTTTCTAATCAATTAACTCTTATTATCACAATTTTGATATATACAGTATGTGTCTTTGAGTGAGTGAGTATGTGTGGGAGTGCACATATATCTGTGTTTATATAGCTATATATAATTTTACCTGCCAGGAAATCGGTGAACAGATATCAGACGAGCTGTCAGAAAACGAGGACCTTTTGGTGTACTTATTTACCCTCCTGGCTCATGACGTCACTGCCATCACAGCCTGTGGGCTGCTCGAGGACCTGCTCCAGGCGCGGAAGACCACCCTGAACCTGACCAAAATTCGTGAGTGGTAATTTTTATATAGATTTCAGTCAGATATTTTTTTCCCTAAAGGATAATCTTTTTTTTTTTTTTTTTTTTTTTGTGGTTTACAGCTTTTAAAACTATAATAAAACACAACCATAAATCTATGTGTGGATAATATTTCTGATTAAGATCAGGATGTCAAGAAAGCTCTTTCTTTTTTTCAATTTTTTTGTATATATTTTTGAATCCTTTTGAATTGATTTTTCATATATGTTTGTTTGTTATTAATTTATTTTTGAGTGAATACAAAAATGAGAAATATGTTGATCTTTTTTTTTAGCGAACCTCCGAAGCCTTATAGCCTGCTTTGATGACGCAAAATTGGCCAACTTCTGCCGCATCCTGGCTGTAACCATCTCTGACTTGGATGTCTATGAAAACAAATCATCCTGTAAGTAAGCATGTAGAGATGACAGTCTCCACATATGATAGTTTGAAGTTTTTTTTTTTTTTTTTGGTCCAATTCTTATTAAAAAACTTTAATCACTTACAGTTCATTTCCTGATGAATATGCCTTGACGTGTTTAAGTATAATGCAGAGACTAGCTGTTGTTTGAATAAAAACTGTCATTGTAACCATAGTCATGTGTTATGTATATAAATAATATAGGTAGTATATAGTGTACAGTTAGTTTTACTGCGGCATTCCATATTTTTCCTTTGTAACTCTAATCACAAAGGTTATGTGGGCGTTGGTTTTGTAAGTTTTTATTAAGCAGGGTACTATTACAGGTTATTTAAACCAGTTTACCAACACCTGGATAACACCTCTGTGGTGTGAAATGCAATGAAAAATGAGTCAATTCTGAGCAGTGGTTGGAATTTTTCTCTACTGTTTCTTTTATTTGTTTGTTTCAGTGTTTGCTCAGAACAAACAGAAAAGGACCACAGGCTTCATCAACATAAGGGACGTAAACCAAGGTATGCCAACACAGACTCATTTCGAAAAAACAGACACTGGATTCGAGGAAAATTCCACCTGTCTGAAGAAAAAAAAATGGAAAATGGTCTCTGTCAAAAAGTTTTTAGCCTACTGGCCCGTTGGAACTCCAGGGTTTAAAAAACTAATGGGTCATGTGACTACTTAAGTGTTTATCTATTTATTTGATTTTAATTTTTGACTTGGCTATAAATCAATCTTCGGCTATATGGATTTTGATTCTTCTGTGAACTTCCGTCAACAGTGCATTTGCTGCCATAGAACTGGGACCTTTCTATTAAGATACATGTAATTATATTGATAATTGGTTTATTTTCCAGACTTATTACTTGGATTGCAGGACCTTCTTCCCAGGCTAGTCAATATTGTTGCCAACCTCTACCACTCATGTAAGTAGACAACGCTAAACAAATTTAGTTGAGAATTTTTCAAAACTTAAATTACTCTACTTGTGTCCAAGATAAATCCACAATAATCCACTTTTATTATTAATTTTCTTGTAAAATTACCAATGTCTGTAATTGTTATTAAATGGGCATGATATTTCATTTATTTAGGCTACGACTGATTTATTTTAGGGCAAGTGGACTGAAAATTTTCGGTCAAATAGTTAAAATATCAATTTTGCAGTTAAAGTTATTTATAAAATGGGTCATAGTTTGATGCTGAGTAGTAACAGACAAATGCAGCCCTTCTTTGATATAGAATTCAGAAACACTTCTGATTCTTGACAACTGTAAAATATTATTACTTTGTTATTTAGTTCAAACTTGCTGGCAGTGTAATTCTTCATTATCTGTGGTCATTGCAGAATGTGATTTTTTATGCAAAATATCTAGATTATTTAAACTGAACTCAAAATGTGAAATTATTTGATTTTAATTAAATGATAAATTTGCCAGAACCAATTTAGTATTGTTTACTTCCTTCTGCTAATTGAGACTAGTTTTTGTGTGAGGCTGATATTTTGTATTCTAAGTAGTGTAAGTAATATTAGATTGTAAATTTTTCAACAGTTTGAGTAGGGTATACTTTGGTGATAAAGAGAAAATTGTTAAAATTTCATAATTTTATAATGATAAGTATTATTTTTGTTTGTGCTATTTGTAGGTTGTTATGAACATTGTATTTGTATAATACATATTTGCTGTCTATAACCTTTTATCTCCTGGTTTCCAGACTCCCCTCGCTACAGAAATAAACACAGTGAGTTGGACTGTTGGATGGAATGGATAGACAACACGCTAGCCGACTCCATAGACCAACCAGAGGTGGATGACTTTGCGGAGTTCATAGGAGGTATGTGGAGGGTCGTGCAGTTCCTTTGTGTGGGGCCATCTTCGGCTTACTGCAGGTGTGAGGAAACTGGGGGTCCCTGTAACAGAAAGTCATTGGTATAGTTCAATAGAGATTGAGCCTGTGTAATGTGACAGAGAGTCCCCCATGTTTTATTTAGCTCATGTTTGACTAAAAAAAAGTGTATGTCTAAGATAAGTCTGGGTCAGTTTCACCAAAGAAATATAGACAAGAAGTTAAATTAAAGTCTACTTCTGATGCAATCAGAAGAAGTCCAATTAAGTAAGATATTGAACCTGTAGGACAAATTTCAATTTGATGTTTTTTTACCATCTGTATTGATTTATTGTAAAATCTAATAGTTTTATCTTGCACTGAATAAAATAAAAATTTCTTCTTAAAGTTTAAAACCAGCTTTAAGTTCTTTTAACAGGACAGTTCTTTGTCCTCAAGTTGCATTAGTGTAACATTAGTGTGGATGAAGTTAGCTCAATCCCCACATTTTAAATTTTTTTATATTAAGATATTTATAACTGCACTGACTGTGGCTCCACCTATTGTTAGGAATCTCTGAGGCAGCGACAGCACATGGTCCAATGATGCAGCAACCAGGCGTGAGGATTTGCTACGACCTGATCAACAGAGTAGAGGTGGTCTACGTCCTTGGTCTGTTTCTAGTCGGAAAACACAGGAAGAAGGTAAGACTTGGTCCTTCAAGTTGGTCTTCTTCTTGTTGGAGAAATACAGGGAAAAGTAAAGGCTGTGACTTAGGTTTCTTCCTCATTGGAAAACAGAAAAATCAGTGGTGCAGTTTAAGTACTCATTAATAAGTCATTTTTTTTTTTTTTTAAGTTCTTAATTCCAGAGGTGATAGATAAGTATTGAATTGTCTTTTCCTGTAGTCAGTAATTCTTTCAATGAGTTTCTTTCTTTTTTGTAACTTTTAATTTTGTTTGTATTAAAATGATGTTTAATAGTGTCATTAATGCTCCATTTAATAAATGGTTTATTAAACGTCTTTCAGGTACAAAGAAAATTAGCAGAACTGAAGTTGATTCCAGCACTCAGTAACTTTTTTGACCAGTTTATTTGGAAGTGCCAAATGTAAGTGTTAATGCCTCTGTAGAATGAAGTGAAATTAATGAAAAGTGCGTTATTCATCCCTTCAAAGGTTAAGGTGCTATTATTAATTTCAATCATCTGCTGAAAAGTCAAAGATGAATTGAGGATGCTATGCAAGTAAATGTCGAGCAATTTGCACATCTGATGCAATATATAACAGACTATAAGATTTATTGTATATTCAAATTTGTTTATGGATTAAATTACTAACTTAATGAATAAACTGGTGATGAGCATGTGTCAAATAGGAGACGTGAACATAAAAAAACATAATTTAGTATATAAGTCTCAGAAACGACAGTAGGCAAAGATTGATTCTCACACTGACACAAATCCCTTGTTTTAGGTTAAAAATGATGCGAAAATATCTAAGATAAAAGGGGCACAACTTGCATCTCTATTTCAGGCATAGAAACAACAGCCGGCACAGGTTACGTGGGCACAATGCAAGCTGCGAGTGCAGTCCAGAGGTGGCCTTAAAGATCCAGTTCCTGCGATTGGTCCATAGCTTCTGTGATCATTCTGAGTAAGTAGAGCCATCTGTGCCAAAATCTCTTAAGAGCGCTTTCAGAACTGGGGACTAACAGATTGGTGGATGAAATATGGCCAACTCACTTGAATGCTTGTTGCATTTTCCCTGCGGGAATGTATTCAGTGTCTTTTTGGGAATTATGCAGCATGCTTTTAAGTGGGTCACCATATTTGATCCGCGAATCTTTTAGTCTGCCATTTAAAGCTAACACTGGGCCCTTTGCACCACCAAGGTCTAAGAATCCACTTGACCCACAGCAGAAATAGTGACCAGAAACTTGAGCAATTTTAGAAAAATTTGCTGGCCTGGTTTTAGTTACTAGCTGGCTGATGTTTTTAGGCCCTGGTAGTGGCATATGGCCAGTGAAGTAATGTGTTTTTTGGAACAGCCTTGTAGCAATGGGTTGTTTGTCATACTGCAGTCATGCTATATTAAAATTTTGTAATGAATTTTTATGATTTTACTAAAAGTATTTTTATGATTATGAAATCATTCTTTCTTTTCACTGGATACTTTTTGGTTTCAGCTACAAGCATTTATTACTGTCCAGATCAGAACTTAGTGAGTTGAAGAGGATAAATGGTAAGCTATTTTTTCAGCAGTATTCAAAAAATAAAAGTATTGAAAAAAGTCAGTTTTTATTAAGGATGAAAATATAATCAATTATTCATCTTATCTTGTTTTAACAGCAATTTTTTTTTCACAAAATGTTTACAAGGTCTATGGTTCGTTTAAATTTCTTGATTTTTAGTCACAATCAAGATGGAAATGAATTTAACTCACAATGCTGAAAATAAGAAATTTAAAGCACATTTTTCAGTGGTTTTGGATACGATAAATTTGAAAATTCTAGGAAAATGAGAATTTTGCCATGGGAATGTGTACTGCTCCTTATGTGCCCTGCAACTTTATTAAATTTTGTTTTTGAGATAAGATAATATGTTATCTCTTTGTAAATTTCAGAGAAGGCTGCAACACCTCTGGTGGTAGGAGATCTGGAAAATATCAACACGTAAGTAAGAAACATAGTGCTATTTTAAGCAACAGTAATGTGGATTGCATGTTCTCCATATTTATGATATTAAATCAAAATACAAAAAAAAAAAGCAAAAACAATCAAAACAAGAGTAAAGTTAATGAAAGGGATCCACCAGATCATTTCTTGTCCTTTCTTATAATAATGAAGAGATACCAGCATCTTCATGCCCCATGTTTATGAAAATGTTTGTTGTGGATAAGGAAAGATGCCAACAGTACCAGGACAATACTAATGTACAGTGCAAGGCAATACACGTTAAATAGCAGTATAAAGAACCCTTATCATTTGCAGTGGCAAGAAGGCTATAGGCAGTCTATTTGAGTTAAAACCTATTGGGGGATTGATTAACTGACTGAGTGAGTGAATAAATGAATAAATACTTAAAATCACCAAAAACACATTTGGTCTTCTATTTCAGTCAGCTAATGTGTAAAGGGAGCAAAGGACTGCTCACAAAGATAGTGGAGGTGTTGAAGAAGGAGCCCAATGCTTCCACCTTCAGGTTCTGGCTGGCTAGGGCTGTGGAGAGCTACCTGAGGGGCAGGACCTCTTACTGTGATCAGATTTTCTTACTGAGAAGGGGACTGCTTCAGGTATAGATTTCCATCTCTGGCTCTTGTTCTCTCTCTCGTTACAGGGTTGTCAATATTAGTCGGTCTGAATGTTTATATATCTATTGGTTTATTTGGTTCACAGTGAACATAAGCCTTTTACATAACAAAGGTATAATTTTCCTGGGAAGTTCAACCCTGAAATCATGTCCAATACCGATAAAAAATTGAAAGCAATAACAAATTCTCCTATTTCAGCATGTGGCCAGCAATATAGTGGAGTACGACATCCGTCCCAAGGAGATACTCCAGAGCAGCTTTGACCTCCTGGGAGAGCTGGTCAAGTTTAACTGTGAGGCTTTCAAGGCTTTTGACAAGGTGCTCAGTACAAAACAGAAGGTGAGACTTGGGGAGGGCACACAGAATTGTTCTTGCAATAATTTCATTGGAACCACTTGAGTTTAAAAAAAAAAACAAAAATGAATTATTTTTATAGGCTCATTGTACATTTCTCCTAAAAACAAATTTGCAGTTATATTTGTTGCACAAAGTACTTTCAGAAATGCTTTTGCCATTGAAATAGTGAAGTTATAGAGTATAAGGTTTTAAAAGTATTTTAATTAAAATCATAGTAGGATACCAATATAAAGGAGTGGAAATCATATTCTTTGGTAGTTATGCCCAGAATTTAGCTTGTACTTATTTAAAACATTACCTACTCAAAGATCTTAGGTACATCTTTATTATTATTATTATTATTCTTTGCTCAAAAAAGTAATCTATTTTGCTTGCTAAGAAAAGAATCATAAGTTTTTTTTTTAGATTAGAGAAATTCTACTGTCTTACAGGTAGACAAATTCATTGCCACTGTCAATAGAAATTTGGTGGATTCCAATATGTTCCTGAGGAGTCTGATTTTATCTCTGGAACACTTCACCACAATACAGCCCGAGTTTGCAGGTAGGTACACTGTTTGTTTCACCCCATCCAAAATAAGTTATTATAAAGATGCATCTATGAAGATCTTCTATAAAGGTGTAATTTGATTAACAAAAAAGGTAATGAATGAAATTTCTTTTTTTTTTCTTCAAATCCAAGAAGAAGGCATAGGGGATGAAAGCTTGGATTAGATATTACATTTTTATAGTAGATCTTCGTAGATGCATCTTTGTAATAACTTATTTATTTCTTAAAGATCTATATGGTTATTTGATATGAATTTTCATCCCATCAACTTACAAAGAAAAGACTGCAGCTGTTTCAGTTGCATTTCACAATCTTGAATTTAAGAATCTGTTATGTTTTTTATTTTTATTTTTTATTATTTTTTTAAATTTTATTTATTTATTTATTTTTTTTTAAATTTTTTTGGCAAATGAAAAACTCACTGAATGTACAAAAATGATTATCACCAGTTCTATTTGAAATTATGTCTTCAGATTATGTAACAAAAGAATGCCATTTGCTCAAGTACCTGGATGAGTTTGGGAGGCAAGTCGACTACCTCCACCGCCTGGTCAATATCATCAATGTACAAACTCTGACACAGGTGAGATGAGTTTGACTTGAACTTACTAGTAAGCATTTTCATTTGTTGCACTGTGTAAACTGAGTTGGGTATTTGATTTTGATTAATAGTGATAAGCAGCTTGCTGAGGCCTTTCAGTCCAAAGTTGAAGAATTTAAGGCAGATACTATGCTTGTGCATAGAATCTTAAAAGGTTTTGTGGTGATTTATTTATTTATTTATTCATTTCATCCAGGAAAATGTCAGTTGCCTGAACACAACGCTAGTATTCCTCATGTTTGCCAACCGCCGTGGAGAACTTCCAAAATATTTGTCTGCTCTGAGAGAGGAGAAGTACTGTCGTCCCCACGAGAAGAAGGGCGGCGATGTCCTCATGAAGAATTTCAGGTACAGTAATAATCCACAAATTTTGAACATAATTGACAAACAAGGGAAAGCAATATAGTGATTTGTAAGTCGCTCTTCGGACTGGAAGTAGGAATGTGTTAAGCAGGTTGAACTCTTGCCAGAAACCACATTATCACTGAAATAGGAAAAATGATGACTAGTTTAGATATTACTTGAAGAGCAAAAAGGTTTGTCTTTAACGATAAAGTATTAAAATGGGATGAAAAAAAATTATAACTACCCTAGATAAAAGAACTGGATGAAAAAACTCAAATAACTACTCTGGAGAAATTTCCTGTTGTGTTTACGTTTTAGAGGAAAGACATAATAACATTGGAAAGCAGCATTATGTGAGGATTTATTTAAGTCCTCTTATATTTCAGAGACCTGCTATTGTTCTGGCAGGAGCACTATCTCCACAAAGATAAAGACTGCAGTGCACTGGAGAAGGTAGGGACTGACAGCCAGGATGTTTTTATTTGTAAATTAAATATTGTTTTGTAATTTCAAATTGAGAAGAATTAATAGTATAATGATGTCCAAAAATTTACATAGATGCCCATGTTGTCATGTGTTAGAAAGTAATTTATGTATGAAATTTTTTTAATTACATCTTTTTGAAAGATTTATATGTAATTAGCTCTTTACATATAAAGCAGAAACATTTTGAATTTACGAAAACTTGTAACTTGTTGCTCTTTCAGAGTTCTAGAATCAGCTTCGACTACTGGAAGAAAACTGTGACATTATTGGTGGACGATGACCGTAATCAGCACACTTCTGTCCTCCATTATATCCCTCCAGACAAATGCAGGGACAACTGAATAAGGTCAGGGTCAGGTCAAGGTTATGTTGAAGGTCAGGTCAAAGGTCAGTGGCCAACATGTATAGTGCAAGTGTAAATCTGGATGTATTCCCTCTGATGGGGCAGATGTACAGAATTATGCCCCAGTCATGCATGAACAATATTAATTCATTATTGTCATACAGTGGAATTTTATCGTGGAAACGCAGACATTTTTTTATTGTCTCTGGACTGTCGCGTCTGGTCAGATTTATCTGTTGCACTGTGAGTAGCTGCTACAAATGACTGGCTTGAGATTTTTCATTGGTTAACACTGTTTGCCTTTAGAAATAGCCATATCATTAAGTCAGATTTCAGTGTGAATTCATGATTATTGTTGGAATTCAGAGCAATAAGTATTGAGCCTTAGGTAATTATAACATACCAAGTGAGTGATGTTTTAGGCTGTTTGTGATGTATGTTGAAAAGATTTGCATTTTGGAAATTTGCAATGAGGAGTAGGATGGCTGTTTTCATTGTTTGTGTAAGTGCTGACAGTTTTAGTGTATCATGATAAAAAAATTACATTTTCATCCTGGGAGAGAGAATTTTGATGGAAGTCCATGAGAAATTTTGCCATGTATGTTGCGGGTCTTATTTTTGTCCTCTTGTTCAAATTATACATCTTGTGATAAGAAGTCATTGTCTTAATTATCCAGATGCATTCAACATATCAGCCAATTGTATAATATATGCTGCAATATTGTACTCTGCACAGTTGAAAGGTCTTCTTTTCATAGGTGTCTGCTAAAACATGTCAGAAATTGAAGTATTGTAATTGGCAGCTAGGTGAAACAAAAATTCAAAAATGCTTAGTTTACATATCTGTGGTGTAGACCAGAGGCAAGTTTGACTTAAGAACTTCTTCAAAAATTGGTGTAGGTTTTAGACCATAAAACTGGTCCTCTTCTGCTGAATCCATAATAGTTATTACTTAAAATATTGGTCTGAAACTTGCTATACAGCAGGTACAATATTCCATCAAGTTGGTCTGTTATGGATATTTATTTCTTGGGTCACAGGAAACAGAAATTTTGCTCTGGACTAAAAGTTAATACCAATTTTTGTTTTAAGTTTTCGTGTGAAACACACCTTGGGTGGGAAGTCCAGTCATTATGTAAGTGTGAATTTGTGTACACTGTAAATGGTCTGTAACATCCACTGTAGAACTAGACGCATATGGTCAATAGGGCAGTTCATGGTCAGATTATAAATCTGACTCTGTTGTCCTCTAGTTTTGTCCTGTGGATTTTATGATTTATATTGAAAGTAATTTTTTGGGTTGATGTCAAAATTGCATGCTGTGACATTTTTTTACGTTCATAAAATCCTTTTAAAGCAGGAATTGAGATATGCATTTATATAGTATGTCATCAAGTGATATGGTAGACCAGTTGGCTATAAAGAATTGGGCAAATGTCAGTTAAACTAGGGGATCCTGCCTATGAAGGGTACAACACCTGCTGGAAATATGAAAATTTGTACATTAGGTTATTTCTTTTCAATTGATCTGAGATGTGCAGTACAAAAAAAAGTCTTGGCCAGTGGTATTTTAATATCATTTATTTAACAATGCCTCCATATATGTGATGCTCTGAATATTTCAATCATTTAAATTGTATTGCACGGGCATTGAGTAATTTTTTCTAGTTATTTTCCTTTTACAGTCTAGCAGACGTGAGTGGAAAATAAAGATTTTAATTCAGAAATTTTTATCCAGGCATAAACAGCATGATAAGTCTATGAGATAGAGAAAGAATCATTTTAAAGTTATTTTAAGGCCATGTAAACTTCTGTATATGTAATAAAGGTGGATTTTTTCATTTGGTTGTATGATTGAACTTGATATTTTTCATTCTAAAAATTTTTTCTAATGGGCAAAATCATGAAAGCACCAATACCATGATTAGAAAAGATCTTTTAAAGTTGGGTTTTAACTTGAAGAATAAAATGAAAACTTTTTTTTTTTTGTAAAATGAGCCAATTGCTCCCAATGACATTATTTACTAAATTATTACTATCAAACTTTTTTTTTTTCTAAATATTTGGAGAACTGAAATCAGTTGCTCTCGCTTCCCTGTGATCATCAATATTTATGAAGAACTTTTAAAAGATGTACGTCCACTGACAAACCGTGATTTAAAAAATAACTTTACCGGCCAAAAAAATAAATTTAACAAAGACAGTATTTTATTTTCTTTTGAAAAGTTTAATCACCAGACAACTTATAACAACACAGCTGACACTGACCATAAGGAAATATCATATTTGATGCATAAATAATGTTATATAAATCACATTATGAAAAACACTTGCACTGGAGTCTGCACCCATTTTACAAAGATGAGGCATTTTTCCTGAATTTTTCTGTTTATGCATGATACAAATGAAGATGTAAAGAAGTGAACAATTTACTTTCTGAGCGCGTAAAAAAGATGCTTCTTTGAAATTAAAATTAAGTTAAATTATATTTAAAAGTTTTTCTGTTAAGCAAGAAAGGTCTTCTGGGAGAAGCCATCTACAATTGCAAAGTCTTCCTTGGGGGGAAGTTGTATACCTACCTGAAAAGAAAAAAAAACAAGGTTATGAAAACTATATAATTAATATGAATTTTGATGGCATATTAAGAATAAAAACCTGCAGACACCTGCAATACTTTTCCTTTCTTTACATCAAAACTTTTTGAAATGGTGCACAAAATAAGCCAGTAAAGGCTGCAGAATCTCAAAAGTCTAGGATGTAGAGGATGATATTGCAGATGTTTGTCAAAGGTTAGAATTCCGGGGCAAGTGCTTCTTGTAAGTTTTATCAGTAAATATAAACACTGCATTCGTAAAATTGTTCTAAAAGTGAAAAAAAAAAAAAAAAAGGCATTAATTGTTGTTTACTCCTGAAAATGCAAATTCAAAATTAGGGGTTTTATTCTTGACATCTTCAAAGTTTTCATTTGCCAGCAGCTACAACAGAACAGGATTTCATAGAACTGTTCTCATCAAAAAGAACATTTGGGTGCAATTCCTACAACTGAGCTCTTTTCCAGGTTTCAATGAATGAATGTTTTAGAAAGAAAAAAAGCAAGTACTAATACCAATAAGAATTGCATTTCTATGTTGGTAATATTTGAAATCGTAAGAATTTTGAAATGGGTTGTAAAAAGCACCAATGTAGCATAGTATTTCAAGTGACAGCTCATGGCTTTTCTTAAATAAATCTTCTGATTTTAATTTAAATACCCGACTACTTATTTCTTTGATTTGCCCCTTATTCCATTAAAATGTGCAATTTTAATCTGTTGGTATAATGAAGGAAATGAATCATTTGCCTGGCTTATGCCACCAACTTCATGCCATGGGGTGTCACACTCAAATATTGAAGCAAAACTAATATTAGATTTTGACACATTAAGTATTTAAATAACGCCACAGTTAAGAAATATAATTTGTTTATACATATTGTTTATTAATGTAACTAAAAAATGGAAAGATACATACCTTCAGTATCAAATAATACAGAAAAACCTCATCAAGATTTTTTTTTCCCAAAAACACATTTTTCCCAGCTATCTTTCCTTTGGCAATATAATTAAGCCACAGTAGGGAAAAAACAAAACATAATTTTCAACTGACAACTTGCATACAAAGTTTCTTTAAAAGTAATACCATGCAATTGCCAGATATAACTTAATCTTCATGTAAAAACACATGGTAAGACACTTTTTAAACTAAGGTCAACCTTGAAGCTGTCCTGTCTTGTCTTCGGTCTTCCGTCTCAAAGCCTCTGGTTTCATCTATGGTTCTGCTAGCATATCTAAAAGAAAAATCAAAACCTTGTCTAGAATGAAGTTAATTTCCACTCAACTCATTTATTTGTTAGTTTTACCAATCTCTCTNAGGTGGGGGACTATCATAAATTTTTAGGTTGATTTAAGATAATCTTAAAGAATTGAGCCATTTAAAAACCAGTGACATCGTTTTTCTTTTTGTCTCTCAGCACGTGTCCAAATGCAACCCTTTGGGTAGTTTTCAATATCTTTTTGCCAGGTTTGAACTATTCATTTAGGCAAATTACTACATATCCATATATTCAAGTCTGTTAAAATCTACACAGCCAATTTATCATTCACCAATAACTTTTTTTTAATAACCCTGCTCTCGGTTGAAATAATAGCAGTCTAAATTCTTTAATAATAAGCTGACTCAACAGCACACAAAGACTACTAGATTCTTTCAATTTGCTTTAGGTAACTTTAAAAAAAAATATCCGTGCAAAATACATTAATAAAAAAAACAAATAATTGTGTCTCATTTTCATGCACTTGAAAGGGTGTCAACTCCTATTCAACTAATTTATGATAAAAAAATATATCTATGTTTGCTTTTTTCATACTCTGTTCATGTTCATGATCTTCTGCCAGCAACACAGGACTGTGGTGCCATCTATTTGCCTGCTTCAGCATTATGAGACCAAGTGCCAATGGCATCGGTGTACAAACAATGTGGAGGGGCCTTCAAAACCCCTGGCTCCGGAATATTTCAGCCGACAGGAGCAAAAGAGGACAATAAATTAGAAAATTGCTCAGAAAAGTGTTCTTTTGTTGGTTAATAAAATTTGTGCTACATGAAAGTAACTAAAAAGTTTTTAGTGTACTTAGTAAACTCAACATGTAGCTTGTACACCTGTCAAGTTATCGAATCAAATTTCTACATGAAGTATGGATTTACTAACAGTATGACACAAACAAAGTATATTACCGCTTCAAAAAGCAGCATTTTGCCTTTTATTCTACTGCTAGAATTGATTTCTCCATCCACAGGCAAGCAGCCACAGTCAGGGAAAACTAGTAGCGTACCTGTGAAACAAGAATCGCAGAAGCATTTAAATTGATCTTACAATACAAATCAAACTAAATCAATAACTTGAAAAGATTGGTTGTGTAAAAATCCCTGGATTATCATTTTTTTTTTAAAAAAAGGAGATTTAACATTGACATTGCTGGTAGATGTTAATGGATTACTAAAATTTTTAATATTTTTGTACAACAATAAAAAATCAACTTCTTAAGATCTAGGTGCTAAACCCTTAAACTTTTTCTTAACAATTTTTCAATACTGCAAAACATTTTTCAGGTCATTCATTGTCAGGATGAAACTTGACACTGCAACATAGAAAACGCAAGAAGTTGATTTTTTATGTTGAAGAGAGCACAAAAACTTATAAACTTTTTCCTGAACCATTAAGCTTATTTAAACAGATGGGAAATAAATCATTACATTTCATAGACTACAATTACTTTAATCTGTTTCTAACTGACTAAACAACCAAGCTTTCCAAGTATTACAACATGTGAAGTACATCAATCATAAAATGGTAACATAACAAATAAAATGTAAAAATAAATGGCCATTGAGGAAGTCTCAACTCCTTCTGTGACCCCATCAAATTCGAGTCATCCTGCCAGCTTTTCTTGCTTGCAGCACCCTCTATCAACACAGCATGAAATTGTCAAAGAAGGAATGGACAACTTTAAGTCAGATTACTATCATGGTGACAATGTATGCACAGTTCAAGATCTGTTTCCCATTTTGAAAAGACCTGATAAACTTTTGATCTCCTACGACTACTTCATGGTCAGAGAACCTGAAAAATGCATACATCTCACACATCAATGTTTTACACAAAAATACAATAATGAAATGTCTATCTTCTCATCATACAAATATAATTCTTTGTCTTATAAGAGTCAAAGACCTCCATCAGCTGGTCCATTGTTTTGAGGCAATAGTTTCAGCACTTGTGTACTTTCGGATTTTAAACGTCTGCACTTTTTTTCAAAATGCTTTCACTCAATCATAGAAGAGGAAAAAAAACCTCATTCCATTCTTTGTATTGTCATAATGCATTTCAACCAATAAGTCAGAACAAAAACTTCCTAATTTTTGATCAGTACAACCTTTATCACCAATCAAACCTGATTCCAGTTGTCATAATTATTATCTCTCGCTCTCTCAAGATGATCAAATCTTCTCCTGGATGAATGGGTGTGTTAACGCGTGGTTGATGCTGATCCGTTTCGCTGGATCCAACATGAGCATTTTCTCCAGAAGATCCTTGAGTTGTGTCACTTTCCTCATCTGGTCCTCAGGAAGTCGTTGATAGCCAATCAGCTCAGCGAGAAGGTCGCGGCTGGGGCTGACATTGCCGAGGACAGTTACTTTTTCCTAGAATACAACATACATACATATTTTCCTGCTGTGAACCCATTAGGAGGGGCGTGGGGGAGGGGGGAGTCAAGCCATTGGTGCCAATAAGTAGAGGTATTCAGGACTGTCCTATCCCGTTAATTTAAATCTAGGGGACATACTTTAATTATTTTTTACTGAAACATAACATATACAGTACACATCTCATATATCATCTTTTTTAATATGATCTTTGATCGCTGAAATCTTGATTTTTAAATGTTTTTGTTTCTGTGTTGGTCAAATGTTGTCAAAAATGCTTCAAAATTGCAGAGGCAAGCAGAGAGAGAGAGAGAGAGAGAGAGAGAGAGAGAGAGACTAAGGATGGAACAAAAATTTTAAAATGACATGTAACTCTTACCCTCTGTGTCACCTTATCGACCTCATGATACATAAAATTATAAGTGCTATCAAAATGGTTGTCCTTGAACATTCCCTTGCGTATCACCCTGTTGGGCATCTTCCCCTTGATGTCCATCATCAGTTTCAGCATCTCATTGTTGGTCTTCCCAGGGAACATGATCTTCCCAGTGTACAGCTCAAACAGGGTGGTCCCCACTGACCACAGGTCAAGGTTGTGGTCATAGCCCATACCCAGGACTGAAAGTGACCACAGATAACTTCAGCACAAAGGTCATCAGAGAAAATTAAAAAAAACAGTGAAAGTGATCGCAGATAACTTCAGCTTTAAGTCATCAAAGATGATTTAAACAACAGTGAAAGTGACAACAGATAACTTCAGCACAGTCATCAGAGTTGATTTAAACAAACAGTGACCACACAAGTGGTGTGCCCTGACCTCCACTGAAAAAGCTCTAGGATATGATAAAATTCATCATGTAGGATTGAAGTAATATTTTAAAAGCACACAATGAGAGTTGGGCCTTTGCAAAGTAAATTTTTCATTAAGCTAGGAATGTCAACACTTAATCACCAGAAAATTTCGGAAAATCACAGTTAAGACCATTCTTCAGTCCTAAGTTATTCAATGAAAATAGTCTAGATTTAAGCTTCAAAAAAATTCAATACTCACTGATTTCAGGCGCTCTGTAGAATCGACTGACTAAGTATGGTGTGATATCATTCTCGGAGATGTGGGAGGCCGAACCAAAGTCACACAGCTTCAACACTAGTTTGGACTCATTAACCTGGTATTATTAACAATAATAACAACAACAATAATAATATAGTTTCTTTCATGGCTCACTTATGTGCACAAATAATAAATAGTCATTATAATAACTTAATATCAGTGCTAGCGCCACCGAATCTGAATTCAATAAAAATAAAACATGTATTTGAAAATTTACAAGCAGCAAAGCTCACCAAGAACATCCGTTTTAATTTGCTGTATGTAATTTATCTTCCTGCATTAATTAAATAAAAAAAAAAAAAAAACATATCAAAGGAAGACACAAATGAGAAAACAAACATATCTCACCAAGATGTTGTCAGGTTTGATATCTGCGTGTAAAATGCTGCATTTCTTCAACAGTTTCAGGGCCAGTAGCAACTGCTGGCTGTAGGAACGGACGGCTTTAATATGGAGACCAATGTCTTTCCCGTATTTCTTCAACACCTCACGCAGGTTCATGCTAAAAGTAATTATATTATATTATATTATATTATATTATATTATATTATATTATATTATATTACAACAATAATGAAAANGTTCTTTGTATTGTCATAATGCATTTCAACCAATAAGTCAGAACAAAAACTTCCTAATTTTTGATCAGTACAACCTTTATCACCAATCAAACCTGATTCCAGTTGTCATAATATTATCTCTCGCTCTCTCAAGATGATCAAATCTTCTCCTGGATGAATGGGTGTGTTAACGCGTGGTTGATGCTGATCCGTTTCGCTGGATCCAACATGAGCATTTTCTCCAGAAGATCCTTGAGTTGTGTCACTTTCCTCATCTGGTCCTCAGGAAGTCGTTGATAGCCAATCAGCTCAGCGAGAAGGTCGCGGCTGGGGCTGACATTACCAAGGACAGTTACTTTTTCCTAGAATACAACATACATAATATTTTCCTGCTGTGAACCCATTAGGAGGGGCGTGGGGGAGGGGGGAGTCAAGTCATTGGTGCCAATAAGTAGAATTAAAATCTAGGGGACATACTTTAATTATTTTTTACTGAAACATAACATATACAGTACACATCTCACATATCATCTTTTTTAATACGATCTTTGATTGATGAAATCTTGATTTTTAAATGTTTTTGTTTCTGTGTTGGTCAAATGTTGTCAAAAATGCTTCAAAATTGCAGAGGCAAGCAGAGAGAGAGAGAGAGAGAGAGAGACTAAGGATGGAAAAAAATTTTAAATGACATGTAACTCTTACCCTCTGTGTCACCTTATCGACCTCATGATACATAAAATTATAAGTGCTATCAAAATGGTTGTCCTTGAACATTCCCTTGCGTATCACCCTGTTGGGCATCTTCCCCTTGATGTCCATCATCAGTTTCAGCATCTCATTGTTGGTCTTCCCAGGGAACATGATCTTCCCAGTGTACAGCTCAAACAGGGTGGTCCCCACTGACCACAGGTCAAGGTTGTGGTCATAGCCCATACCCAGGACTGAAAGTGACCACAGATAACTTCAGCAAAAAGATCATCAGAGATGTTTTAAAAAACAGTGAAAGTGATCACAGATAACGTCAGCTTTTAAGTCATCAAAGATGATTTAAAGAACAGTGAAAGTGACCACAGATAACTTCAGCACAAAGGTCATCAGAGATGTTTTAAAAAACAGTGAAAGCGATCACAGATAACTTCAGCTTTAAGTCATCAAAGATGATTTAAAGAACAGTGAAAGTGACAACAGATAACTTCAGCACAAAGTCTTCAGAGATGATTTAAACAAACAGTGACCACTCATGACTTAAACAAGTGGTGTGCCCTGACCTCCACTGAAAAAGCTGTAGGATATGATAAAATTCATCATGTAGGATTGAAGTAATATTTTAAAAGCACACAATGAGAGTTGGGCCTTTGCAAAGTAAATTTTTCATTAAGCTGGGAATGTCAACACTAAATCACCAAAAAATTTCGGAAAATCACAGTTAAGACCATTCTTCAGTCCTAAGTTATTCAATGAAAATAGTCTAGATTTAAGCTTCAAAAAAATTTCAATACTTACTGATTTCAGGCGCTCTGTAGAATCGACTGACTAAGTATGGTGTGATATCATTCTCAGAGATGTGGGAGGCAGAACCAAAGTCACACAGCTTCAACACTAGTTTGGACTCATTAACCTGGTATTAATAAAGATAATAATAATACAGTTTCTTTCATGGCTCACTTATGTGCACAAATAATAAGTAGTCATAATAACTTAATATCAGTGCTAGCACCTCTGAATCTGAATTCAATAAAAAAAAAACGTATTTGAAAATTTACAAGCAGCAAAGCTCACCAAGAACATCCGTTTTAATTTGCTGCATGTAGTTTTTCTTCCTGCATTAATTAAATAAATTAAAAAAAAAAAAACATTTCAAAGGAAGACACAAATGAGAAAACAAACATATCTCACCAAGATGTTGTCAGGTTTGATATCTGCGTGTAAAATGCTGCATTTCTTTAACAGTTTCAGGGCTAGGAGCAGCTGCTGGCTGTAGGAACGGACGGCTTTAATATGGAGACCAATGTCTTTCCCGTATTTCTTCAACACCTCACGCAGGTTCATGCTAAAAGTGATGTGATATGATATTACATTAAATTATTCAACACATTACGCAGGTTCATGGAAAAAGAGATTATATTATATTATATTATATTATATTATATTATATTATAATTTGCCGTTCAGACATAAAGTAGGTTTCAATAAGTTTCAGCTAAGAGCCTGTTAGAAATGAGAAATATTGGTTGGACAATATTTCTATGAGATGTTCTTGAATCATTTCAAAAATTTTCCAACATAAATTTGAACTTAATTAATGATATGAGAAATGATGGTAATAAAAATATTTTTCTTTTTTTTCCTTTGCCACATTAAAAAATGTTAAAGTTTTAGCTAAATTTAGCAATACCTGTTAGAGTCCATAACAAACATGTATTTAGAAGAAAAAAAACTCACTTTAACGATTCAAATACGAGGCAGAGATGTTGCTTGTGGAAGAAATGGCGATACAGCCGCAGACAGTGAAACTTGTCTTCTGTATCTGCATCATTCAACTTCTTCAGGTACTCCAACTCCTTCAGTCCTGTCTTGTGCCTAGAAAACATATAAAAGTTAATAATAATCAAAAAACCAAAACCTCAACTACAATTACTTTAATGTATCACAATTACAAATCCAATGACAGTTAGCATTAACAAGCAATGAGTTATCACCACAACATATTTTACATCTTAGACTACTGTACTAGGCTTATGAAGTCTTATTTATACAGATTCGTTTCTTGTCATGAGACCTTATAGTCCAAGTCATCAGTCATCTTTCTTCCTAAAAATCAATCTATTAAAATTAACAGATTATTAAAAAAAAAAAAAAAAAAACACAAAAAGACCTGATTTGAATACCCATTAAATTCCCAATTCACTAACATTTTCATTTAATCTAAGCAGATAATCATTCTTTGAGCAAAACAGGTCTATGCTTACATGTTTAATCAAGATGCATTTAGACCGAAGTTTGAATACAGACTAATCCCCAATTCACCAATATCTTAACTTATATAGTAAATTTAAGTTATTTCATTTTCATGAAGTAAAACAGAAGTATTCCTATTTAAAACAGTCCTCCAGAGGGCATCACTCACATCATTTCATTGTTCCTGATGATCTTGATTGCACACTCGTGGTTCCCACGTGCCTGGTCGCGCGCACGCACCACGTTACTGAACACCCCCTGGCCCGTGAAGCCATACACCTGGTAGCGTTTGTCCAGCGTCTCACCAATACGCACCCCTGAAAATGGGTCAAGAATGACGTCACAAATAGATTCCACATAATATATAGCTGACAGTACAGGAGGTTTACAAATGACTCCTGATCACTGGATTAAGTTGTTCAAAAATTAGTGAAAAACAACTATAGTGTTAGATGAGTAAAAAAGAAAAGGTGAAAGGGAGCTTTTCTGTTCACTTTTTCAGATTCTTTTCTTTCTTTTTTTACTTTCTTCTTCAATGAATTAAGTATGATAGCTTTTCTGTTTACTTTTTCAGTTTTTCTTTGTTCGTTCCTTCAATGAATTAAATATAATGAATTCCACAAAATGGATGGATTAGACCAAAATGTAAGATGCAGTGACTGTTTCTTGATCCACAAGCACACATATCCTTACAGCTTTAGGGCCATTGCACTAAAACTAGGTGATGTTTGAACGGCCTCTCATATTGAACAAATGCCTAGGAAGGAAAAACAAATTAAGTTCAGAACACCAAAACAGAAGAAATTCCTTACTGTAATATCCCTCAGCATCGTCCCAGTTGTCAGTCAGAGATGGGTTGTCGTTGCCAATACCAGACACCTGCCTCATCAGGTTGGGGCTCTGAAAGAAGGAAATTTGTATTAGTTTGTGGTCTTCTTTATTTGCTTTGAGTCTTAAAAACTACACTTATAGTTACAGTTCTAGTTTCATCAAATTCCAATAAGTCAACGTAGCCAAGTTTCAACATAGGCATATGTAGAACTTTGCAGGGTAATCGTTCTGACAACTTGACTAATATGTGTGCATTAGGTGAACAGTACTACAAAATACCTAAAAAGTCTTATACAAGTGATTTTTAGCAATTTGTAAAAAAATAAGGCCTCAATCAATTTAGGCAATAACATAGAGACAGATAATTTACTCACATTGTAGTCCTCATTGCTAAATATGTCCTCCTCTGAGAACATATCCAAGCCATTTGAAAATTTCTTTTTGTTATCTTCTTTTTCTTTTTCTGTCTCAAACTTGGATTTTTCTGGAGTATCTAAGGTAAAGAAAAAAATTAGAATATTATGATATATTCTGAGTGACGAAATAACAAAGGCCATAAACAATAAATAAAAAAATTCACAATTCCTTTTTAAATATTTCTCTTCCTAGCAAAAATTAATAAGCTGTAAACAGTTATGCATTCAAACTTACAATAATACATTCTTCAAACATCAGCTATTAACAAGAGGATAGCAGTGTAGAAGAAATGAAGGTGGGGGGGGGGGGGGGTTACTTCTAAGTGGAGGCTATGGCTACTATAATACCTTTAACACTAACCACAGTCACTGACGAAGATGTTTTGTCAGACAATGAAGAATTGGAGTGATTTTTAGCTGTCGTGTGAAGAATTCCTCATTATAACCTTCATATCTGTATCTGACCTATTATCAGCATCACATATAAACACAGACTACCAATATTCACCTCCGTTCTCTTCAGTTTTCTCCTTATAGCTGGTCATCTGCCTCAGCTTCTCGTTAATGGACTCCTCAAAGTCATTAGACGAGAGGATCATCCTAGCGTATTCTGCAGCATCGTCAGCTGCCTGGTCTGCTACGTCACTGACATCACTGTCAGGGGAGGCTATTCCGCTGGGCATCTGAGAGTCGGAGTCAGCTCTGCTTTCCTCACCAGGTGGCAGTGAGACAATGTCACGGCTGTCTTCCTGGGTCTGGAGTTGCTGGAATTACAATTCAATTTCGATTTGAACCATGAAAATACAATGAAATATAACATAGTGGTTTAATGACTACAAACCTGTCATCACTGACTATTAGTCCACAATATGCAATTTACATCCTTGCATATTATATAAATAAAAGTTAGATTTAAAATTGAACAGATGGATGAAAATAGATAAAGAAAGATCAAACAGATTTACATTAATCTTAAAAACATTTTGTTGACTTGTGCTTTAATCTTTTCATGTGGTTTTGCTGAAATATGTTATATACTCATTTTTTAACATAAAATAGAAAATTAACAATCCTGCTTCATTTTCATATAAATTATTAAATGGTAAATGCCTGAATTTTTTTTTATATAGTACTAACCAAGAGCAGTTTCTCGCGTTCCATCCTCCGCCTCTGTATAATCTTTTCCTCATCTTCATCATCTGAAATCTCAATGTCCTCAATAATTCTGAAATAAAAAAAAGGTTTACCTGATAGGAAGAATTTAAAACAAGCAACACTTTGCTCAATCCAGGAAATAAACTTATAAAATCTTTATTCTGAATTTAATCAATGATGAACCTGTCTCTAAATATTTTACACAATTTGTAGCATAATTAGAACGTGCTTCATGGCTTGACAAAAATTGACTTGGAGCAATATCATTACTATTTTTTATTGCATTCACTAATGTTCCTGTTTTTCTGAAGTTAAGGTTTTTTTTATCCAATGTTACATTCACCAGAAAGGAGAAAATGACGATTGTGAAGAAACTTACTCTTCTTCTGAGGACTCTTTGTCCTGCAGTGCCAAACCCTCGGACAAGCTGCCCTTGAACTTGTCTTCTGCACTTGGGGTGTGACTTCTGCGACGGTTCCTGTCACGTGACCTGCTGCGATGGCCTGCACGGTCTCTAGCACCTCTTCTGGGAGATCTGAAAAATATAAACACATGTTAATAAACTGGTTCATCTAATGGAGAAGAAATGTGTATATGAACTATTTAGATTTTTTTACAGTTAAAGCTTAGAAAATATAATTCAGTTACAAATTCAGAACTGGCACAAGTAATATCTTAATATTATATGAACACGTCTGGGCAGACAATTTGCTAAGAGTCATTTTGCTGCAGTGGTCAGTTTTATCAAATAATGTATGTTAAATATTCATAACATATAATCTTCTGAACCAGGTGACACATAATTTCATCAGCTATTTTCAAAGTTTCAGTGATACTTTCTCTGAACAGCTCAACTTTCCTCTGTAGTATCAAAGTACCTACCAGGGACCTTTTTTGGGGAAAGAGCCTACAGTTTGATGACTTTAAGGAATCCATTAATAGTGAAGTGCTCTCTCCCCACCCCTCCTCTAAATTACCTCTTTTTCAAATGGCAAATAGAAATCAGGGAGAGTGATTCTATTCGCTGAGATTTCTACTCTATCTATAACCTCATTCCCAAAAAGAAAGTGTCTTGTCTGAGAAAACAGCTTAGTATTCATCTAATGTTTGAAGAAACTTGACGATAATTTTCTCACCTCTCTCCCCTCTCTGCCAGCCATCTCTCTCTGGACCTCTCCCTGGCTTCTCGGCTCCTCTCCACCCCTCTCCTGGGCCTCTCCCACTCTGCCTCACGTTCCTTCTCAGACAGCTCTTTCCTGAAATACAATATAGTTGAATAAAACTAGAGATAAAAATGGATCTCAAAAAAAAAAAAAAAAAAAAATCAGAAAATGCAAGTGTTGAAGAGGGGGAAGGGGTCATACAAATAACACCCAGATATCTGAATTTACCGATTAATCTGAAAGATCTTCATCTCCCATAAATTCAATAACTTTGTAAACACCATCTGACAGTCAATTTGGACTGTGCATGCACAATCTTTGAAATCTTATTTCTGGGGTAAGGGTTGCTCAAGGCAGGAATCCACCAACAATTTTTGGATCTTACTTAAAAAAATCTATCTTCCTCTGTCAAAGAGCAAACCCTTCAAATTTGATAATGTATTGATGACTTTATCATAAGCTAGCCTGACTAAGCTCATAAAATAAATGACTTCTGTTTAGTGCTGGCAAAGTTTCCGCATGTTTGGCCTTGATTATTGTGGGTTTTGAAGCAAGACTATTCATAAAAGATGGGTTTGAAAATAAAAGACAGGTAAATTTCACACACATTTTGTGGTGGCCAAATCAGATTTCCCCACAAGACTTTCCTTACCAGAGGTGTTAGAATACAAAGGACTGGCATATTTTCAATTCCACAGTACACATTTGATTTTCTCTTAATTTCTATTCTATGAAGACTCACCTGTCGCGTCTGTCTGGTGACCTCTCCCTGCGGCCTCTGACCTCAGTTGAATTGGACCTTCGTCTTGACTCTCTTCTATCAGGTGTATTGGACCTTCTTCTCGTCTCTCTTCTATCAGGTGACTTAGTCCGCTCTGATGGCCTGTCTCGCCTGCTGTTGGGCGACTTGCTCCTATGGCGCGGCGGTGTCTTACTTTTCCTTCTGACTGGTGAGCGACTTTTCTTCCGTGAAGGGGATTTTTCCTCCTTGAATTCCCTGAATTTTCTCTCTTTGGACTTGCTTCGTTTCCCTCTGGATCCACTCCTTCTTTCTTTCGATCTACTTATCTGTCTCTCTTTCTCTCTTGATCTACTTCGTCTTTTTTCCTTCGATCTACTTCGCTTTCTATCTCTAGATCTACTGCGTTTTCTGTCCCTGGATCGACTTCTTTTCTTTTTGTCCCTGTTTTTATCTCGCCTTGCTTTGGAGGACGGTTGGTCAAATTCACCTTCTTCAATGTCATTGTTGGTGTCATTATCATTGGATACACTTTTGGCATGAGCATGACTGGTCTCACTTTTTTGGTCCTCGTCATTTTCTGGCTGGTTTCTTGCAGCCAAAAGGCGTTCCTCGAGGAGTCTGTGAACATGTTCCTCATGGTCCACCTCACCTTCTTCCTCACTGAGGTAGCCTGATGCTATCAGAGACATAGCACTGACCTTTTCAGGGTCACCCTGACTTTGACCTTTGACATCTGACTCACTTAATGAATCTCCATTTTGTAGAGACTGTGCCTCCAATTCTGCCCTGAGATCTGCCTTTACTCTTTCTAAGTCATCGATTGGGTTTTCTTCCAACTTTTTCCTTTTCTTCCTCCTGGAATCATCTTCTTCGTCATTGGTCTTCTCATGCTTGTGCTTTTTGTGTTTGTGTTTTTTATGCTTCTTGTGCTTGTGTTTGTGTTTATGCTTTTTCTTCTCCTTGTGTTTGCTGCTGTGGGACTGGCTTCTTGAAGTTTTGTCTTCTTCATCTCCAGAAGAACTTCCACTGTCACTGAAAAGTAACAAATAAGATATAAACCCTAACAATCAATATACTAATTTCTCCATATCAAAGTTAGGTAATTTGCACCAATAGACAGAATGAATGTTGCATCAAACAGAATTTTGTGCCTTTATATACTTATCACAACACTCATTCTACACCAGTTTTAGTACTTATGCAGTATGCCCCCCCCCCCCCCCTTTACTTATATACATAATGTCTCTGCTATTCAAATAAATTAGTTTTTCATTTTTCCCCTGATTTTTCAGTTTTCAATTCCTTATATTATTTTTATGTTGTTTATTTTGGACAATAAAGACCAAAGTTGAGGCATATGTACCCAAGGGATGGGTTCCTGGGGATAAGCTACCCTTGACAAAGCAATTAAGTAACAGAGGCTATGACTCCCCACTGACACCATCTATTATGATTTTTCTTAAATTAAGGTAACTTTTTAAATAGATTTAAAAAATATATCACAAACTTACAGTTATTTTAAACAAAAAGAAAAGAATCTTAAAAAAAAAAAAAAAGGTAAGCCCACATGCCGTAACACAGCTTCACAGCTATGCCGTGACCAGGATTCGAACCTGGGTTGTCTCGGCCACAACGAGAAGTACTAACCACTATACGATCACGGCTGGTACTGCGGGCTGGATGAAAAAGTGCCAAATATTGTACTCAAAAGGTACAATACGTCGTAAACACCTTCATATAGACCATATATCGCGTTTGCTAGCAATAAAAAGTTTGGGAAGAATAAGCAATTTATTTTCAAGTTCGATTGAAATATATATGCAGATGGGGAAACGTTCTTGAAGTCAACACCGCAAGATCTTACATTTACTACAATCAACCGAAAGATCAGCGAGATTGACCGCCCAGACTTCTTGGCGCCAAATACCACACGCTGTCAAAATCTGACGAACACGTGTCACTGTTCACCTACATGGATAACTGATTTGTCAACAATAAAAATGACGTCTTCCTTAACTCCATGGGAGCTTCATAGAGAGTTCCACTGGGTATTGACGTTACCTGTGAGTCACTTTCCCCAGATGCATGAAGACCTTTCTCCAATAGCCTCATTCCCTGAAGAAGATGTCCTGATAGACATCGAAATATTGGAGGTAAAACCTATCTCAATATTAGCTGTTGACTGAAGAAAAATTCACATCATTCTTATAACTTAACACAGCTGATGAAATTCTTCTCTGACTTAGCTGCCTCTCTGTAGTCAAATTCTTCTAGAGGAGGACCTTGAATTGACACTAGAAGAAGTGCATTCAATACATCTGAAGTTAGTCTGTTCCTCAGCCTGGTTTTCACTCTCTTCAGAACAGAAAATCCTCTTTCACAGTCTGAAAATTTAAGCATAATTCTATTGGTGATCTATTAAACCAATAGGGTATTTGTGCCCAAGGGTAATATATCTATTACAGGCACCATCTACAATGCATTTCTATGGTTAAACAATGGTATTTGATGTTTATGTAGCGTTACATAATAATTTAACGACGCAACGATCTTCCGTCAGACAGATATACGATAGCATCGACGTTACTGCCTTTGCCCTGCTCTAAATGACTGCGAATGAACTTTTATTGATATTTAAATTAACAAATGGGTTCAAAGTCTCGTAAAGCTTCTCACATTTTAAAAATAATCTAATCATTCCGGAATAAAAACGTATGAATACATCATCTCATTGGGATTGCTCACGTTCAAGTGGATTGCGGGAAGGGCAGGTCTAATATTCAAGACTGTCAATCTACTTCCTTATACAAGCATAAAGGCGGGGTAAACGGAGCACGTGACAAAATCAGCCTATCGCTATGCAAGACTACTTTTCACAAACGTCATTCATGAAGAGCACATGGTCGAAACTGGCTAAAACTGCCTACGTGATCGGTAAATGTACAATGTATCTTTTCGATATATTAGCGGCCACGTTTTCTTGTAATACGAAAGAAATACATATGTATTAAAGCAACATCCCTGACATTAAAGTGATTGGTTTGGTTTTATTTTCCAGTTGTATATAGATTCCAGTAAGTAATGAGGTAACAAATGCAAGATATGGTGAAATTTGTAAAATTTTATAACGTTAATGATGAATAATGTAGTCAACTTACCTTCATCGGGTTCATGTCGAAGCCATGTATACTTCTTCAACCACGGAGCGTTAAACTCCGTCCTATGTTTGGGTTTTTTAGGTGCTGGTTCGCTGGTCGTTTCGTCATTTACCTGTACGGATGTATCCACTATTTTGTTTGATGAATGTGACTCTCCGCAGGTTTTAAAAAAGACTTCAATGTGCTCTGCTTTGACGCCATGCTTAGAGATCTTACGTGTTTCTATATTTAATTTTTTTTGCAATAAAATTCTGTAATAGTTGGTAGATAAGGCGGGGTAAATGGAGCACATTACAAAATCAGCCTATCGCTATGACTACTTTTCACAAACGTCATCCGTGAAGAGCACATGGTCGAAATTGGCTACAACTGCGTACGTGAGCGGCAAATGTACAATGTATCTTTTCGATATGTTAGTGTCAAAGGGATGCAAAAATGACAGTCAAGCTATGCAAGTTCAAGAAAGATGCAAGTTCAAGAAAATAATCTGAAGGTCTGCTCATTGCTCAAAATAAAGGTGGCCGGCCGTTTACATAAGGTGGAGCATAACTCAATAAGGTGGCGCAGCGCCACCTAAAAACAGGTCGTGGAGAACACTGTAATATATATATCAAACTCAAAGATTAAAAGTTGGAATCGCAGCTTCATTGGAATTATATTTACCTCTGCCAAGGAGGTAATGTTTTCACCCCTGTTTGTCTGTCATCAACATAACTCAAAAAGTTATGGACCGATTTTGATGAAATTTTCAGGAACTGTCAGAAGTGGGTCAAGGAGGACAAAGATTAGTTTTTGGTGGTTGTTCGGATCAATAATCAATCAATAATCAAAAATTGCTGCCTTGGCAGAGGTCTGCGCTCTCGGAGTGCTTTTCTAGTTTTGTTATGTTTTCCTTTTTAATTTTTTCTCAAACACTGGCATTTGTGACTTTTAACTCCCATCCGCCTGAGGCTCTGCACATTTTCTGTATTTCCACATAAGCAGTTGTATTGGTTTTTATGTCTTTAAACATTATGTAATATTATTTTACGCACTGTCATCATTTTTCAAATATTGGGTCTTTCATCATGTGAATTTGAACTCTCATAGTCCTGAAACTGTAATCTTATTGAAGGGGTGGATTGAGACCATCTTCTGGGTCTTCCGGAAGACGGTCAGGTTTTTAAGTTTATATTCACTGGTATCTATTTTTTTTCTGTTGGAAGACCATCAAAATGGAGGATGGATCAACATAGGTATTTTGGAATACTGTCAGAAAATATCTCTGAGTCCGCTCCTGTTATTGACCTTGTTACCTGTACTGCATGATTAAAATTCAGTGTTGACTGACAGTGCTATTATAAGCATTATTTATTATTGCATCAAAATTGACAAAATGACATATTTTGCATCTTTATTTATTTTTTTTTTTGTCTGTACATTTGACAGCTTTGCTGCCTTGTTTTGAGTTTTGTCTTAAATTAACCTGCTACACTGTATTCAGTGCCTTCAAAATTTAACCATTTGTAAAAACAGCAATTATGGATTACCGCAACACTAACGTACAGAGACGCAATGAAGCACTGAGAATGGGTGCAGAAAATGTGTCCCAGTAATGCGTGTTTGCCACTCATAATGCACTGTACTTTGTTTGAATAAGCAATAAACTATTTGTAATTTTAGGTTACTCATTGTTCGTTATCAGAGTAAACAGATTCTTTGTATGATTTTTTTTTTCAGAATCCCAAGAGTGGATGCCTTGGTGAGCACAGAGCAGATATCACCAGTGGTCCACAGATGTCAGAAAGAATGTTATAATTATGAACTTTGTGTTACACTGAACTTCATTTTGTTAAATTTTGTATTTAACTGAACTTTATTGTGTTAAAATAATAAAAAATAATAATAATTCTGACAAAAAAAAACTACAATCTGGAAAATTCTTTAGATCAACTTTGTTCAATGTGTGTCCCATGTAGCAGAGTTACAGTAAACAAAATATGTGCATTATTCCTCTGAGTTTGTCAATTCCAATATAAAAGCATGTGACAGTGATGTTCCCCTCATGATTGAAGTGTGTGTGGATAATAGCAAAAATATTGATAAATATTATTTACACAATTATAAAAAGTTCTTGTTTCCACAACACTTACATTATCGTGTCCCACATATTCACCATTTTTATGTACAGACACAGATGTGTCTGTATATGTAGCCGTCACCTGCATCTGTCGTTGCCGTTGCCGTTGCTGTGCACTTTTACCGTAAACATGATAAGTAGAAAACCGTTTTACCTTTTGGCTTGAAACTTACAGAACTGATGAATATTCGTAATACGCAGGTCAAGTTCGAGAATCAGCATGATCGTGCCATTTTAAGGGAAGTTATGCTTTTTTTTTTCACTTTTTTCAGCATATATGCAACACTGTAAACACGATAAGTGAAAAACCATTTTACCTTTTGGCTTGAAACTTACAGAACTGATGAATATGTAGATCAAGTTCGAAAATCAGCATGATAGGGCCATTTTTAGGGAAGATATGTTTTTTTTTTTTTTTTTCACTTTTTTCATCATATATGCAACACTGTAAACACGATAAGTAAAAAAATGTTTTACCTTTTGGCTTGAAACTTACAGAACTGATGAATATTCATAATACACAGGTCAAGTTCAAAAATCAGCGTGACCGGGCCATTTTTAGGGAAGTTATGCTTTTTTTCCCATTTTTTTCAGCATTTATGCAACACCGATAACACGATAAGTGGAAAACCGTTTTTCCTTTTGGATTGAAACTTACAGATCTGATGAATATCTATAATACGCAGGTCAAGTTCGAAAATTGGCATGATCGGGCCATTTTTATGGAAGGTATGCTGTTTTTTTTTCACTTTTTTCAGCATGTAGGCAACACCTATAACACATTTTAAGGAAAATTGATTGGCCAATTGTCTTGAAATTCACAGGAGTGGTCAGTGTTACTAAAATACAGATTAAGTTTTGAAAATAAGTGTTGTGTATAAGTAGGTCAGCTTATGACGTCACCATATCG